ATCCGTACAATAGATGTGCAGATTTTTTTCTGTCTTACAAATAGATTCATAAATAAATATATCTTTGCATCTATTCATAATTAGGCTTATTTTGTTTCTGCACAGTTTGAGCTGTGACTGAGTAGAAAAGTAGGATTAACCTACTTGAACAGTGGTGAAGGTTCATCCACAAAGGAGCGTCACCAGGAAATGTAGAATCATATTTGTGAGAATTTTTTTTATTCAGGAGACACTGGGACATTTGTCTTTCCATTAAAGCTGATCTGCAGAATAGTCTCCTATTTGTCTTCTTAAAGGACCAGTGTGTAAGATTTAGGTGAAAGGGAACTATTGGCAGAAATTTAATGTAGAATAATTCTCATGATGTTTTCATTAGTTCATTTCATCTAAATTGTAGTTTTCTCTACCCCAGAAAAAGCCCTTTATATTGAAATACTTTATATTTACATCGAGGGGACCCTCTCTACGGAGGCCGCCATGTTTTTTTACATTAGTCCAGACTGGACGAACTAAACACCTTTTGCGTTCATATGACAATTAAAGTCTACCACAGTTTCAAAATTTAAATTTAATGTCTCAGGAGTTTCTATTATTTAATCCTGCATTAGAAGAACATTTGTCTTGAGGACTGTGCACCAGTGGATCTGGACTCACGGCATGTAGTGCTCGACGTCTTTCCCGTCTCCCCACAGCCACCGACCCTCCTGCTGGGCGTCCGTCAGTCCCACCCACAGGAAGGGGAATCGAGGGAACCTCCCTATCACACCTTGGATGAAGTCCTGAGAATGAACAAAATGTAACCTGGTGTAACCTGCTGACTTGACATTAGACAATTAAAGATTCAGTTGTGAAAGATTTTGAAAATACACTTGCTCCTTGAGCTATTTGCTTCCACTGAGGTGCTGTTTACCATTTCTGCAGTGGTTTTGATCACAGCCAGGCTGCTGTTGTGTCCCAGACAAAACTCAGCGCTCCCATTCCACTGACGATTTTCCTCAAGTCCCACGGAGAAAAAGTAGCAGTGACGCCTCCACCAAAGCCAACCGCCAGGACACAGCCTGCATCTGGAGTCTTTGTGCAACAGGAAAGAAGATCCTAGTTGATATTGTGCAACACTGCAAAATTCAGCTGTGGTTTCACGAGGCTAAATTTCACCTCTTTAAAATCTCAGAAATACAATCAGAAAATGGTGAATGCATAATCCTTGAATCTAGTAAACGGCAAAGAGGAAGGAGTGAATGACCTTGAGCGATAGCCTGGAGCATCAGGTCCAGATCATGACGCTCTGTCCGACACTGCTGCAGTCGCTCCACCAGCTCCTCTTCTGAAGTAGTGGGGGTCCGATGAGCCTCCGGTGCTGCTCTCCACGTGGCTGACAAATGAATTTTAACATGAGGTGTGTTTGAGGCGCTCACAGACAAAGGGACAAAGGGACAAAGGGACAGGACACCAGATTTGAAAATGGGAAATGTTAGAGATTATGCTCACAAGTCTCAAATCTATATTTATTAAGAAACAAGAAATAAACCGGCAATGAATATTTCTGGAGTAAATGAAACTGATTTTTAAACTGGTTGTTTTACTCACTCACCCAATAACACCACGGACAAAAGGAGTCCAGTAGTGACGATGATAATTGTTACCAGGGCAACAGTCACTCCAATTGTCGGATGACAGATTGGACAGGATCCTGCAAAATAAATTAATTAATTAATTAAAAAAATAAAAGTTGTGAAACAGTATGTGCAGTAGTTTTCTGGCTTTTGAAAAGCACAGATTTCCTTCACTACCAAAGTGATGATTATGAAAAATAAAATACAGAATAGTCAATACCCATTTGAACTGTCAAACTGAGGAAAGAGATCTTTAACTCACCTGCAGACGTTTCTTCTTCCTCCTCCTCATCATGGCCACTGTGTCTCGCTCCCGGCTCCATGCTGGTGTTTGACCCTGTTCTGTCTTTTTTCGCCGCTCGTTCTCTCGTCAATCACGACATCTTCACCCGCGTAGCTGCAGTAAATGTGACCGCCACGCCCCTTCCTCATATTATAACAGCTCACTTCCACAATATAGTACAAGAAATTTGAAGTATTAAGTCCTAAAAACCCCTGAGCAGAGGAAGTTGGCCGGGTGTGTAGAGAACCACCAGCTTACATCTGCACCAAGTATTTATAACAGCAGCTTCTCAGAGGCTGGAGGTGTTATATGTGGGGTTATATATTCACTAGGCCTGTTTTTGGTTTCCTGTGAGTATCAGATGCTCGTCTACATGTTTGTATGTTTAGCTGCTGATCTGATTAATTCATTATCTTCCCATCATCAAACATCATCTAGTTTATTTGCTGTTAGTAAAAACAATAATGTTCGTTCCTTGCTCTTTAAATCTGTTATTTGGAAAAACAGAATTGATTTTTTTCCTGTGGCAGATTTCCCACCTTTGTAGGATCCCATGGCTTTTGATTCTTTTCTTCTTCTTTTCTTCTTATTATTTATGCATTTAAAATGTTAATTCAAGCTAATTGAATTTTAGGATTAATTATTAAAGAAAGGTGATACACTAAAAATAAAAATGCATAAGGTAAAAAAGAAAATGACAAGTATCTTTTCATGCAGGCGAAATGTCCACACAGAACAACATTAAAGGTTTATTTATATTCTCAGTTTGTTGATTCTTGAAATTCTGATGTACAGTGCACATTACATAAACTATATATACATATATAGTTCTTAATTTTATTTGTGATGAAAAATTCATGGCAGAAAACACAATCAAGAGCAATATCACTGAAATTTAAGAAATAGTGTTTTCACTTTCTTGCTTCTCCAGTTTCCAGAAAACATTGTCCCCCAGTAGATTTTTATAATATGCCTCCAGCTGCAATGGACAAATACATTGATTTAAAAAAAATAAATGGTTGATGGACATAAAAACAATTTTTTTCAAATACTTACTCTTGGTCCCTTTCTCAAAAGTCAAAAACATTGTTTTATCTTGTACGTTTCTCTCTAAACCCACGTATTTGTTTGGTCATGCTGATGAACCACATACCTGACTGAACACACTTTCCTCTGTGGCGTCCTTAGCACAGAGGAGAGGTTGTGAGGAGGAGCACAACATGGACAGACTGATTTGTCTTTCCTCTGCCTCTGGAGAACAAACAGATGTGTAAAGAGGAAGTCAGACCAAAGACTCAGTCTCTCATTCCTGGTTTTGAATTTGCATGGTCAGCTGTTTGCCATCAAGCATGTCAACGTTAAAACCAACAAAAATAGGAAAATGGATTGGTAAAGTAAAGCATGCACTTTGTTGAACGTAAGACTAAAGCCTTCATGACTCCTCACCTGTGAAGCTTGAAATGATCAGTGGGACACTCAGCACTTCATCTGTCGCGGTTTGCACTTGGAACTGGTACTTGGTCCCTGAGGTCAGGTTCTCAAACGTGTGAATGGTTTTATTGGACAGTGAGAACGATTGCCTGTGGCCCCAGAAGCTGGAGTTGAGGTTCACCAGGTACCTGGGTGCTGCTGCGTTGTCAGGGCCTGTCCACTGGAAGGTGAGTTGGGTCTTACTGGTTGAAACGACTGTGGCACTAGTGGGAGGGAGCGGTTCTGAACAAATGGGAAGAGAGAAATAAATGATTTGTAGTTCAAGCAACATTTTTCCAGCAACAGCCTTTTCATATATTTACCTTTGATTGAGTCTGTCTCTGTTACATCTTCCCTTTATTGCTGTATTATATTATTGATTTGTTTGGTATGCAAACCATGCAAACAGAGGGAAAGGTCAAATGACTCACTGGTGAATTTGGAGCTTTCCACTGGCGGACTCTGGAGATGTCCACTCACACTGCGGACGATCACTGTGTACTTGGCCGCGGTCTTCAGCTGGACAAATTCCTTCACAGGCTCGGTCACGTCTGCTGTCGCATCCACATCCTGACCCTCCAGCTTGAGCGTGATGTTAAAAGACGAGTAGTTACCAGCAGGCCCGGTCCAGTTGGCTGTGAGGGAGCGATCCGTCGTCTCCAAGTACAGGTGTGAAATCGGTCCAGGAGCTAAAGCAGGAGTCAGATTAGTGACATTTCAGGACAGAGTTTGTGCTCATCACAGTGAAGCCATAAAGCAGAGGGTTACCAGTGTAGTTGACGATAGTCACTTTGTCTCCCTCTACGGTGCCATTGGCGATCACCGCCACACTCAGGGTTATCTTGGTGCCCTCCGGCAGCCTCGTCACTCTCTTCTCCTGCTGAGTCTGAGTCCAGTCGCGTTGCACCACCTCGTCGAACAGTTCGCTGTCAGGAGGAGGCACAGTTACAACTACCACCAAGAAAAGTGATTGTGTATTTTTGTTATAGCGATGTTGCCGTGTTCTTAGTAAGTGCAACATTATCACTGCTCATTGATTTGCAAAATAATGTATCTCCAAACACCTACTTGTTGTTGTCGTTCCTGGCCTGCACCCGGAAAGCTGTGCTGTTCCCCTCTGGTGGCCTCCAGCTGAGCCGCAGTGAGGTGTTGGTGTTTTCAGACACACTCAGGTTGGACACTTTATGAGGCTCTGACAACAGGGAACAAACATTACCACAAATACAACAACGTCACAGGCGTAACTTCAGGTCAGATGTGGCTTCACTGATTTGAATTTCATTTTGTAAGCGGAAGAAACAACCAAATATAAAAGTCTTCCTCATTTAAAACCTGAACAAGGTTTTGATGTGTTTTCACTGGTCTCAGAGACACAGTGCATTTCCTGTTTACGTTCTGTAGCAGATATAAAAAAGCTAAAGGGTCTGTTTAAAAACATTATGTGATATATGCAGGTTTAACAGTATTATACTTATTTATTTTAATTATTTATTTGTATTCATATTTTATGATATAAACTCACTTGTAAATGTCGTGATGTGAGATCCTTCACTCAACATGGAGTTGTGGAGTCCTGAGAGGACGGTGAACGTGTAACTGCTTCCAGGGATCAAATCGCCGACCTCTGAGCTCTCTGTGTCAGTCGAAGAGTTAGCACCGTGGACCGCCACGAGGTAGAAATCCACGTGTCCAGACGGTTTGTTCCAGCTCAGAAACACTGATGTTTCTGTCACCATGGCCACAGTGAGGTTTTGGACTTTGTCAGGTTCTGCAAAAAAGATGAGGTTTGAGATGAGATGATGCAGAATTGGGTTCATATGAAGAAACAACAGTTTTGAAAATAATGTCATAATATTATGAGAATAAAGAAGATAAAGTAGAACCAGAGTTTCACTCCCTCTGGTTTATCAGTCTCATTGTTTTTTTAAAGATCTACTCAATCCCATTGAATATCTGGCAGATTACCACTTACAGACATTTTCTCCAAGTCTGTGTGATTCTTTCTCAGTTTCTCTCACAATCTTTTCCTGATACTTTTTGAAAGTATTAACCCTGTAAGATGACACGTAGCCTAGAGCTAAGACTTAACTCATAATATTACAAGTTTATTCTCAAAATCTCAGATATTGTTTTCCCTTAAATGGAAAAGAAATCAAATAAAGTACAGAGGATCTTAATGACACTGTCAAATGTGACTCACTGGTGTAGAAGGTGGCAATTTGTGGGTTCAGGTCCCGCTCACATTTAACAGGGAACACCTGGATGGAGTAGCGGGTGCCCGCTGTCAGGCTGGAAAGGTTGGAGGTCAGGTCGGAAGTCGGATTGTGGATTTCTGTCAGTTGGACGTCACCTCTGACCTCCACGCGGTAATGGCTGATGCCACCTGGCACAGGCAGCCAAGTGAGAGTGGCGGAGCTGGTTGTCACGTCAGTCACGTTGGCTCGGCCAGAGAGACGATCTAGAAAATCATAGAGGGATACATTAATTTAAAAATTTAAAAAATCAATGTACTTGTACAGAAAAAAAGATAGTAGTAGTATGCCGTATGAAACTGGAGGAATTACCTTTAAAAATTCAAGAAATATACATGTCAAGAATAATGAGATGATGATAAATCCAATAAGTTGTGTTCTTTAGAGATAGTAAAGTACTGTTTATCACAACATACTCATGTGTTGTAGTGTAGTATTTATGTGGGGAGCTTTTAAATGAGTCTTACCATCATAACAAATAAAAGGCAGAAGCTCGGAGCAGCTCTTTTCAACCCAAGGCCCAAATCTGAGCATGACCACACACGAGTCTTCTTCAGTCTCTGTAAAGTTGGGAAACATCATCGATGAGCTCATATACTCGAGGGTTGTCAGGTCACTGAAGTTTGTTATGCTCTCGGTGGTGGATTCAAAGAGTTCTGGGGTCTGCCCCTCCGAGCAGGAGCAGTTCGTTTGTGGGAAGTGGGATTTCAACACAGGCCAACCAGGGTACCAGTTCTGGAAGGTGAGGGGGTCCCCGTTGGCCCAGCGGCTCCACGGCAGACTGGAGGGATGTAAATACTTGCGGAGGCCGATCCAGGAGTCAGAGGTTAGGTTCTTGGCAATGATCTGGATGTTGCCGGGGGTCGGCGTCACCAGCTCTTTGAAACAGACCTGATGAGACATGAAAATATTTAATTTCTACTTTACAGAACTGAGCTTATTTCAAAAATAGGACAAGATGGTGAATATCCCTCGGACGTTTCAAGGTTCTAGAGTTGATATCTTTTCCTACAACTGCAGTCTCCTGGTTTCTATGGATATCTGTGTGATCCAGCATGTTATCAAGGTTCAATCAAATGCTCAATTTGCTCACAGACAGACATTCGTGGATCAATCCCGAAGAGTGGGCAACCCCTAATTTCCTTTATCTCAGCCAAAAGGTAAGAAGTCCCTTATACAGTGGCACAAAGTATTGGACATTAATGATTCCTGGACCTGACTCCTCAAATTGAAACGTCTCGTCAGCTTCAGGATGGCTCATTAATTTGAGTTTCCAGTATTTTCACACTCAGACCTCACGTTTCAGCCTCTTCCCTGAAGCTGAGGTTCATTCTGTACCTGGCAGTGATTCCGGGCCTCGTCCCAGGTCAGATTTCTGAGCTGGGGGAAGAACTCCTGCTGGGCCTCGCTGCACATCATCAACATCAGTGCTGCGCACAAGCGTACAAACAGTGGAGATGAAGTCAAGACTCCAAACACGTACAACAAAGTTTAATCTGTTCGTGTTCTCGAGTTCCATAATCAGCAAATCATGTTTTCTACAATGCATTAACATCTGAACACATTTCTACAATTAACACAGAAGCAGAACCTAGTTATATATTCTTGATATAGTATCTATAGCTGCAACACATTTCTGCACCCTTAAAATATGTAAACAGGTCAGAATATTCTCTATTAATTCAAATGATATGGTTTAAAAGACAAAAACACGATACAAAACCAGGCTGCCAAGATCCTTATGAATATTACTCTGTCTTGATTTTGAGACAAAGGTCTCGAGGATGAACTCACTATAACAAGTTTCATTTAATTAACAGTTGTTTCTGGTCTGTCAAAGTGTTTTGCAATTACTGCTTAGCACTCAACTCTGAATCTCTTCTGGTGCTGTGTCAAATAGATGGGCAGAAAATCAACCCACTATAAATATGATACGTTGATTTATTGGTAACTTCAGATAAATCATTACATTTACCACTGGCTTCGCAAAACCAAGGATGTCTCAGATTCACGTGGCTGAAAAAATATATAGATTTTACACTGATGGACAAAATCCCATTTGAATACATCACCTTGGCATCCAAACAAGTGCAATGTGAATTTTTCATAATTTTCAATGGACGTATGAATATAAAGCATATAAACAGACAATCAGCACTTAACACTGAGCCTACAGAGTGTAATGAGAAAAGACATTAATACAACACTCACCCCCAGATATTAAAATACACATTTTATCCTGGAGAGAAAACTTTGTCATGTTGTCCTACAGTGGATTCTGGAAAACGTCAGTACTGTAACATACAAACAGTAGGAACCACATAGAATTCAAAGCAGTCCATAAACCTTATTAATTAATTTGAAACTGGAAGAGTTGACGTCCAGCTACTCACCCAAGCAACAGATGAATCCTCTGACTCTCTGAACAGGGAAGGAAATAAACTCTCAATATGAGGTCATATAAACAGACAGACATCTGATCCCCACAGAGACGGTCAACAGGTTTTCAAACAAGACATTTGAATAAAAAACACACAGCTCTGTTCAGATAACGCTGTGAAACACGAGTGGTTTTGAATTGAACTTCCAGAAATGCAAAACACCAATATTCAAAAAACACCAGTGACAGAAAGAACAGTACAAATAAAAAAATACAGGAGAACTTTGTGACGTTAAGCATTTATTTTTGGCTTAAAGCTTTGACTAACAAAATGAAAATTAGTACAAAAAGAACATGAAAAATAAACAGTAGAAAGATAAACCTCTTATATAAAACTACGCTCCCAAAATAATCTATAAAAGAAACAGATACAATTAAAAAAAGGAAATGCCTTACGTATATTTCATGGCAGTGTAAAATTAGAGTGGTTTTATTAAAAGACAGTGATTGGTTGAACTCAAGTGCTGATTAAACTTGTGGATGGAAGCAAACAAGTAACAAATATCCTGAATTCTTTTTTTTATTTTAAAGGTCCCATGAAAAGAAACATGTCATAATGTACCTAAGTGTGATTGTTGTCCAAGTATCCAAAAGAAAATTGCATGTGTGCAAATCCTCTCATTTCCTCCAAGGTGTAATTTTGTTGTATGAAAACTCACAGGTACTAAAAACTTGTGATCAGGTTTTCGGGGGGGTGATCCAGCCAGCCCCTCATCAGACAAACAGTGTTGATTTGAACAGAAATAAAAATAAAAACGGCATAGCTGTGCATTAATGTAGCGTTAAGTTTGCTCCTGTCTGTTTTTTAAATGTCTTTGTTTGCATGCACGGAACATACCCGTGGTGTTTGGTCCAGGTCGTTGACTACAGAACAACAGAAGAAGAAAATTAAGCAGAAGTGGTTTGCAGGATTGCTTGACAAGCATTTTGTTGGTTGAAATATCAAAAGTGGCAACAAATTTAACTAAGTGAACCAGTTAATTCATTTCCCCCATTCAAACGTAAATACTTATTTTTATTTTTTTTTACTGCTTTTCGAAAAACTGAACAAAAACAAAAACTGCATTCACAACATACTGACATCGAGAGACATGCCCTTCTACAAACCCATCCATGTCAAGTAGACACGGTCCAGGAGACACGGTCCAGGAGACAAGTATGTAATGCAAACGTGCTCCCTAAATTTCAATTTGAGAAACCAAACATCAAATGTAAACAAAGTAACAAAGACATGAACCTTGTTTGGATTTTCAGGTTTGAAACGCACTTGATCATAATTAATATTTGATGAAACACGAAAAAAAAGGATCTCTTTGGGTTTCTTTTTTTTTTTAACCAATTAAAATCTGATTAAAATGAATGCATTATAAAAGCCAACAGGAATGACACATTTTAAAAACGGAGTCATTAAAACTGAAATAAAAATCCCACCCCAAAAATTAACACTGACTGAATCCAGGCACCCACCATTTTAGGTCCCACCCCAATGTCCCGTTTCCTCAAAATCCATTTCACTGGACCTCTACAGTGAGAGCAGTGAGACAGGGTCTGTTTACAGAGTCAACTGCTCTCCTCTTCATAATGAATTCAACTTTTATTCATAAGTAAATGTTCTTAACACTGTACAGCGCTAACACAGTAATCAGCTCAAGTTTTCTGGCATAGGGCGGCAGGAGGTGATTTTAGGTATCAGATGACGAGTAAATAACCAGATATAAAACCTGACGATGTGAAGGATTAAGAGATGGCGTTTGTCGTCATGATCAAGGCAACGAGCTTCTCAGTCACTGTCGCTCTGCTCTCCTCTCTGCAGGAGTCTCTTTCCAGTGGAGGGAACAGGGAGCTCTTGTTTCACTGAGACTTTGTTCTTGGTTCTGGTGCAGAGGGGGAAAAAAACAAGAAGATGTGACACATTTGTAATAGTTCAGCTAGAAAACTGAAAAAATAAATTATTTTAACAGACATTTGGAATTGATTGCAAAGTTTTGTTTTTTGATGCAATTTCTTACTTCTCTCGATCCAGAAGCTCCAAACCCTCGTTGATTTTTTTAAACATTTCGTAGCGGCCCCGACCGACAATCTGCAATAAAAATGAATTCATTAATGAAAGGGAAATGATTCATGTCACAGAAGATTCTGTGAAGAAATCCTGCTTTGTGCCACACTGCATCATTACTCACAGGAAGATGAAAGACCTCCTTGTCCTCTTCCTCTGCGCTGGAGGCAGACTTTGATTTCTTCATCGTAGTGGTGTGGGGAACTGGGTTAGTCTCTAAAATAAAAGCGAAGTTAGAAAGGAACCAGAAAGAACGAATGGAAACTGAAGTCCAATGTAATGCAACACAAACATACTACGCTTCTTGGTCTGTTTGGGGCCGCTTTGTGTCTTGGTGCTGCTTTCCTCGTCGGTTTTACGGTCCCTTCCTGGACATGCACAGACACGCACCTCGAAGCATCTCCGACCCAACACCAGTCCCCTGGAAAGAAACCGAACAGTCGGATGAGAGGGTCAAAAAAGAAAGAAAGGGTTTCCTAAGCTGCATAAACACAAATCAAATACGTAAGATGTAAGACGAGACGGTTTAAACATCAACAAATATCTACTCACGCCATTTGCCCACCCCCCCCCCATGCCACTTCTATGTTTCAGTTTCAGGAGCACTCCCCCACCCTCAACACATCTCATTAAAGACAAGACTTTTTTCTCTTTCCAATGTTCCTCAAAATGTGTCCATAACTTTTGTGTGGAAACTTTTCCTCTCCCAAAACAGTACAAAGCTCGTAACATTTAAAAAAATCTGTAGATGGCAGAGGAAATCACACATGTCTTGTAATATATACTACTATCTGAAAATAAAGAATAAAACAAAACAAGACTTACTCGGGAGTCTCGAGGGTCAGGATGGTGAGGATCTGTCTGCGGTTCATGCCGCCCATGCATGAGCTGTTGCACATAAAGCTCAGCAGGATGGTCGTCATCTCTGAGCCCAGCTGAAGAAAAAAAAAAAAAACATATATTCACAGCTTGTTGAGGTTCATACAGTTAGAGAAAGACAAGGATCGTGTAGAGTGGACATGTTCCCCTGAGTGAGGAAGCCATACCTGAGGGGGTTCGTATGGGACGGTCACACTCTGCCTCTTTGTGTGTAGATCTTCGAAATACTGAGCCCTCTGGCTGCCCCCCAGTCTGATCAGATGGCTGCGATGCTCTGCAGCTGAACACAAAACACAGATGCAAAACCAAATCAGAAAGAAACTTCACCTCAGATTAATCAGATTCTTCTAGCAAAGACACATTCTCTTCCACCACACATACAAGGAACATTTTACTTACTGTCCTCATTCTGGTGATGGGGGCATCTACGGACAACATCAGCCACATGCTCCGTCTTCTTGTAGACCGCTGTGGCTCTGAGGAAAGCACCCTGAGGAGGCTCCTTGCTCACCAACACCTCCACAGGGCTGGTTTTAGCCAGCTGGCAATACAGCTTGTTGAGAAGCTCCGAAAACTGAGAGAAACACGGCGAGAAAGCCATACACCTTATTGTCTTTCCACTTGTGGAGAAAGAAGAGCAGAATGTGGCGACTCAAAAACGAGGTCCCGATCTGAAACCTGTTTCAGAAAATACAAGCAGACTGCTCGAAACGACTCAAGACTCAAAAAAAGTAGGTAAAGTACTTTAAAGAAAAAAACTACGATGATTTCTCCAGATAGGTGAGGCCAGATCAATCAAACACAAAATGCAATTTTTTACCTTGCATCATTCTGTTTTTAACCATTTCAGTGCTGGAGGAAGACAGTCCAGGAACATGTCCCGTCATGTCAGAGCTATACTTTACAACCAGACTGCACCTCACCCACAGACCAGAGCACGTCAAGGGGGTGGGAGTTTCAGGACAGACCACCCTAACCCTCAACTAAACTGACCAACCATAGCGGGCTGTTGCATCAGTCACGATAGAGACAATAACGCCATTGGCTCTTCAAACGCAGTGACTGATTCTGGACCTTAAAATTTAGCGAATCACCACAATGAGATTCCACATGAATGCTACCACGAGAGATACCAAAGAATGGATTTTCAACGCAGCGCTGTGGTAAGATGAGATTTTTAAAACTAATGTTTGTCTAAAAGATTTTCAACCTGTAAAACATTTTGAGTAACTTTAAAAAGAATATAACTTCAGAGAACAGTGAAAGTGTTTTATAAAACGTTTCGATTCAAAATGCTTGAAATTAAAAAACTATACTAGTTTTAGACGATAAGATGAATGTAATTTAGTTTATTAACAAAATACTCGACAGGAGCACAGTTAAGAGTTAGTAATCATTAAACTATGAATGACAGAAACTTGGTTCAAACTGAATGGAACCTTAACACTGAGCCGCTTTTGAAATTCCCTTTGTCTTAGACACGGAGCTCAAACCGCCGACTGAGCTCCTCACCAAGTTTGGTTGCACGATAATCTGCTGCAAGTGCTGTTGATGTAAACTTTTAGGATCAAGCATTTAGATTCTGAATAATTATCTCACACTATTAGCAGAAAGTGTGAATGTTCTTGGTGATAAAGATAATAGTCAAACTATTCTGGTATGTTTATCCTTTGAAATAACGTGCAGCAAGTTTAATAAGACAACGTTTCTAGCCAAGTGATTTCTTACAGTGGAGGTGACAGATTTCGCTGTGCCAGACTTCTGGAAGCGAAGCTGGAAGCCATATTCCCCAGGGTAGTCGGTCGTGACCGGGACGGTGGAGGCTGGGGGAATAACGCCATCTTTAGTTACCGTCTCTGGAGGCAGTTCAAACAGGCAGTTCAAATCTAACTCATCTTGCATGAGCTGCAAAAGGACAAAAATATGAGCATGGGTCAGTCGGTCTACATTAACAAACAAGGTAAGATTTAGAGGACAGTTCAACGAAAAAAATGTAATTCACCCATTAATAAATGTCCACCCCTCGCATGCACACACAATTTGCCCAAGGGTATGCGGTAGCATTGCTAATTCAGGAAGCAGACATTCAGGTTAAAAACATGGTGTAAATGAGGCCATTGAGTCGAATATGAATGTCAGGGTTTACGGACACTTGCATAACATCACAGGAGCAGTATGGAGGCATTTTAGGTTTCGGTAAACTGTCCCTTTAAGTGACAATCATATGAATATTTTTACAGAACATAAAGCTCCTTCTTAATTTTACCAAACAGAGGCATGCGTATGAATGCTTACCAACATGTCCATGTCATCCACTGGCCCTGGGATGCTGGAGATGGACGGCATCACTCTGCAAAAACAAACTAATTAACTTTTCTGAAGTGAACTTACATTTTTGTATATCTACAACAGTACATCTAACCAAAACATGACTTACACATTCGCCCACAGATCTGGGAAGGATATCTGACTCAGGGGAAGGCTCGGGGTCAACTCCTCATTTTCCAAACCTTGCTCTTCCATTTTTTTAGTTCCTGTCTTCACCAGCAGAGAGGAAATGACGGAGAGGCAGAGATGCAGGAGTGCTACAGTGACAATGAGGAAGTAAGAAGTTGTGTTAGAACAGTAAAGCTGTACTTCAACCTCAATCCAATTCCCAATTTAACTGATTTCCAGTAATCGGGTTGCATATGACATCAAGCACAATTAGCTGTCGATTAATGTTAGTTTCTCTGTTACATCAATTAATTGTCAAGTACATGAAAATCACTGGAAATAGTGAAGAATAACCATCATAATATCCAAAAGGCAAAGAGAAAATGACTTTAATTTAAGAACAAAGTGGGAAAATCAACAAAAAGAAAATGAAGATTAACAAGTGTAATGTTTATGTGTTAATAAATTTAGCCACACGCATTAACTCAGACCTGCTAAGACCTTCATATCTGCCGCACAGGAAATCAAAGTCAAAAAGGAAGTAGGCCTTTGCTTTCTGGGCAACTAGCTAACTTTAACCAGTTTAAACACTTGTTAAAACTTACATTACACACACATGTATCGGGGAATACAAAGTTTAGAAAGGAAAGCTAGCAGCGCTAAAAACATTGCACGCGAAAAGAAAAAAAAACACGCTAACGCTAGCTGTCGTCCATTTTCTGTCGAGCAATGGGCCTCACACACTGAATGAACCAGGCTCCACTGATCCTCGTCGGCACTTTACACCAACACGCGGCAAATAATTAAACTTCACGATGAGGAGGAGAAACAAGCGAACATGCTAACGACCGTCGAGGAAGCGGCGCACCGTCTCTTTTGTGTTAGCTAGCGACTGTTTTTAAGCTAGCTAGCTTCCCCCCTGGCTAATTACGTTAGCAATACGTTTCTGGACCGAAACTTTTCTTCCCCCGGACACACGGTGTTTTACCGGCGGCTCTCCGGTGTCCGCTGCACCGGAGGAGAGGAGGAAGAACCGGGACCACGCGGTTACTTAGAGCTTCCCCCCTGCTGCCGTCCGAGGGGGAACGAGTCGCGGGTGGGAGTCGAGCTGGAGAAAACAAAATATTGTGAGCTTCGTCCGCAGCACGCTGTCGTCGGGGATTCCCACGAAGAAGAAGAGGGACGGGTCTTTATCAGCGTCCAATCACAGAGCGGCCTGCTCTCCTGATGGACTCAAACGCAACACCGCCAAACACACACTGCTGCTTTCAAACTGTCGGAAATATAAGAACTCTCATGTTTCATTGATGACATGAATGAAGATAATTGAGAATCTCAACAACTTTAATATTATGTTTGTTTTATTATTTTCAATTATCACTTGGTTACACTTTATGATTATTGCACTTGTTTTATTGTTTGTGCACACAGGTCCCGAGAGACGCACTTTCTTTCCACTGTATGTTTTACAGATATGGCAGGAATGACATAGATAAACTTGAAACTTAACACTGTTACAAAGTGCAACCCAAGAAATTAAAAACCAGATAAGGCAGTCGTCCAAAAGGACAATTGCCACGTACAGATACATCAGTAAAAGTGACTAAATAAAAATAAAAAATACTTGAAAGCAGTATTTATAAAGGCAAGCATTTCTAAAAGTTTTCAAAAAGTATTTTTAGACAAGATTTAAAAGCATGATACACATACATTTTTCTTAATCAGTCTCTGTATGTGCTTAAATGACTCATTAGAAACTCTCATAAATCGAGTTTGTTAAATGCTGCTTAATGTGTAGATGGTTGATTTGTTTTTATTATTGTATCATACATTTGTCAGAAGCATATCAACTATTCTTATTATAGTATCTAATCAATATAATATAACAATAGGAAATTATTTTTGACAAATAACTACAATATGTAATTTACTTTATACTATTACACTTGAAGGCAACATAAGATTACGGAAAGAAAACGAATGGTACAATATTGCATCATGAACTTACATGAACTCACTGAGGTTTATGAGGCCAATTTTCTCTTTAATGAAAGAGTCAGACTCTTAGAAACAGTGATTGTGCTTATTTCTGTGCACTCAAAGGAAAAAACTACAGAAATATAAAAGCCATGTAAAATACTTATCACTGCAGCATGTCTTAGCTTTATGATAGTACAATGATTGTTGTTTCATGATATTGTGCACTGTTTTTTCCTTTTTTTAAGCTTGGTCCCTTGAGTGGCCAATGTCAGTGTCTCACTTCAGGACTGTCAGGGATGCTTGGTGGCTGTGTCTAAGCAGGTGGAACGGGTCGTCCACTAACCTGAACGTCGGTGTTTCGATCCCTTGCTCCTCCAGTCTACATGGAAAAGTTTATGAGGGCAAGACACTTAGCCCTAAATTGCCCCTGATGGCTTTTCTGTGAATATGTGATATAGACGTGCAGGATATATGAATGTGACTTGAAAAGACCAAAACAAATGCTATTTAAATACAGTCCAGCCTGTTTACAGATGGACTTTAAATCAGCTGATTTCACTGTGCCATGATTTTATAACAGGCTGGATGATGTCATAACCCTCACCCTTCAAACGCCCCTTTGCTGATAAGATATACGTCTGTGCCGCTGGGGGAACAGAGCTGCAGAGAGAGCCCCAGCAGGGCCTCGCTCAGATGACTCCTGTCGTACCATGCTGCTGGTTGCTTGTCCTGAACTGGCACCTGGAGTCACATCCAACGACCACGCACCGAATGTTGGTCCTCGTCCATCTCTCGGGGTGCTTGGCAGTTATTGGTGCCACTTTGGGTCTCGGCGGCGGTTTGACCTTTGAATGAATGTGCTGATGGTGCCAGCGAGTCTTCTGTGAACCTGATCCTGAGTGGCACTGCACATAGACACAATAATGAGTGAGGTCCATCAGAACAGGCTCAGAACCACAAAGGGAAAAGATCACATGCAGCTCAGCACATGATTCAATAAATTTGATGCCAAATTTAACTGAATAATTTCCTTTGTGCATGTCACAACACATGGCAAGTCACATGAGAAGAGGCTGGACATACATGTGTGTGTTTGTGGAGGATTCCATAAAAACCTTGTGTTTGTTAACAATATTTTTGAACTCATGAATTTGTGATTTTTCTCACAGTAAACCAATGACCCAGTGAAGTGTCGCAGCCTGTCACACGCTGAAACTGACCGTTACAGCGCAGCACCTGCCGTCCGTCACGCCACTCAATTTACTGTGGCATGATTTTAAACCGGTTAACCTCACCGACCACACACACACACACATACACACACACATATATATATATACACACAAACACACACACACATAGGTCATGACAAGGAGGGACAGTATTTACACAGGCGCCTTTGCTTCATCACTTGGGTGAGTAATAAAGGGCAGTCATGTTGTGTGTGTGTGTGTGTGTGTTTCAGATAACACTAAAACATGCAGTTTGGGGACAACACACATTTTGCTGAACACTTTAAAATATTTGACAAGCTTGTGGGTGTGATGTTATTTGTACCTTCTCCAAGTCTGTACTTGTATAATTCTTGGCTCCCTCTCTATGAATTCATGTGATACTTTGTGGAAATGTAATATTACCTCTGTGTGTCCCTGGTATGGACCATGGAACTATGCTGGTTGGGACACTACGACCAGTGTTCTGATGGTTTAAAGTTTCTCTACTTTTAGTCAGAGTCACACACGCGCTCACACAGTTGTGTGTGTGGGGCCCCTGGCTTTGCAAGAGGGGTGTCAAGTTCCCCCCCACTAGCTCTCAATGTGCGTATGAAGGCAGCAGAGGGAGAAGGCAGGGAGGGGGGTGTGTCTGTGAAGGCTGGGCTTGTGTCTTCTACTGAGAGACGAACAGCAGATATTTTTCCACTGAGCTCTTTGTCAGATTCTCCAACACACTCGTCACTTTCATCCACAAACCACACCTACTCTGCTAACTCAGGTGGCTGAGCCCAAATATAGGGTCCCACCTGTCGCCCACTGAAAGGGGGCCTGGGCTTTGTTGTGTGCAATAGCGAGGAGTGGGAGAGTTAGTGGAACAGAGTGAGCGTGTGGTGATTGACCTCTTTGGCATGTGATCTGAAATAGAAAGGGATTTATGGTTGTTGGCAAGGCAGACAATGGCAACCAGGGGCGTCAAAGACGAGCCCCTCTTTGCTGCATGAGAAATGTTGAGTCATAGCTGGATTCATGTCTGACTGACATGGGTTCGCCTGAGGTCCGGCCCCTGTGCAGCCATGCAGCCTCCATATTTTACCTTTAATAATTACCTGGAGGTTATGTTTTCACTGGCGTTTGTTTGTCTCTATTCTACACAAAGACGACCGGCCGGATTATCATGAAACTTGGTGGAAGGATGTGGAGTTTATAATTCTAATGGAGCATCAACATGATGTAACATGGCTCAGAAAACTGGGCTCTGGGACCAAATTTGGCCCTGAGCAAACCTCTAGCTATGGATAAAGGATTGCTCAATCAAGCAGGAATCTTATAATGTAATCACAACCCTGACACTTCACAATCAAAGCCAGACCCCCCCCCCCCCTTTTGTCTGTAAGATCACACCAGTCTCCTCCAGGAGCTTCTTCCTGTGCACATGCTCGCTCCCCTCTCATCTTCAGCCAATGGTCGTTAAGGTCAGGAGCGCGTCCTCCGTTCCGTCCCCGGACCTCAAGATCCAACAGCCTCAATCCTTCCTCTCCACTCGCCCCCTCCCCTCCCTTTTGGAGAGGTGTGCACGCGGGTGTGCGGGTGTTCGTCTCTCTCAGCAGCACGGACGCAACACAAACCTCAAAGTAGGGAGGACACTCTGCACGACAGGACGTACTGGGTCGATCACCGTGATCTTCCCCTTTTGGATTTAAGTTTCCATTGGTTTTCGGCGCAAAAGGGGCTCAAGGGTCAAGTTGCAGCTTGTTGTCCTTTTGAGGGGAGTTTCACGTGTCTCCATTTGGCCCTAGACGCATCTGTCACCGACTGCCACTGGGTGTCTGGAGCTGCCAAAGTCATGCCGGCCGGGTTTCAGCAACTCGGAGGGGAGGTAATATTTTCCATTAACAGTATTTGTGGTGGCTTCTCTCCTTTTCACAGAGGTGACGTGATTAATCGTGTTGCTGTGCTAAAAACCGTCTTAATCCGTGCGTAATTTTAGTTTGGAGAGGTTTTACGCACTGGGTTTTCGCAGTCCTGCACAAAAACTCTAAGTGGAGTTGCATGCCGTGCCATGACAAACTGCATTTTGCATCGAGCAATGCAAAAAAATGTTTTGCTAAATCTAAACTAAAAATAATACAATTATTTAGAAATGATGTAAAATACAATTGGTTGAGACGGTTGTTCTTATTTCTCCATGCTTCATGTAAGATAAGCGTTGAAAATATGGAAATCAATGGCCAGTATTCGTGTCAAAATATCCTAAAGAATTGAGAGTAAAGATAATAATCTATTATATATTTTGGTTCTGACAGAAACTTGTGGTTTAGTCAGTGATGAAAGGGAGAAAAACTAACATCAGCTCAGGTTTAAAGTGGCTTTGTCCCTTATTTAGTTCTGAGCTTGACCTTGACGAGGCAAATATCTCAGTTTACAGGCCAGAGCTCAGTGTTGTGGGTTTGTAAGGCCACAGAGGTTTGGCCTGTTCCGTTTTACCACCCTCATCAACAATGCCTGTGTTGTGTGCTCCCTCCAGCTCTCTTTAAGAAAACCATTTAGGTCAGGTGGATGAAAATGTTTTAATGTTACATTCCTCCAATGGACAGTTCAATCTCCTTATGCATAAGTCAACAGGAATTGGATCTGTGATGGCATTGAAACAGTCCGTATGAGAGCAGATTGATGCTCAGAAGTGTTTTAATATAGAATAAAGAAATCATTATATCTTTGTACTGGATCATCAGTGGCAGCTTTTAATTTGTGTGGAAATCGCAGGAAGTCAAAGCTTGAAAAGTACAGGTGCATATTTATACCCGAAAAGTAAATAAGTGACTGCACATTCAGCTGTGACGAAACACAGTGTAATAGAACATGGCTGCTTCTCATCGCGTTGCCTTTTCTGCAAGGACACATGCACATGAGCAAACACACACCCCTTTGTTTTGGTTCGTGGACGCTTAAGAGCACTTATCTGCAGACTCAACACAGCAAGGTCAAGACAAAAGTTATGACGAATGCTACACCTTCATGATCCATTGAACAGAATGGAAATGAATGGTAAACAGACTGATCGAAGAATTTATTATTTAATTTTACTGAATAACTAGCCAAGTGTATAAACTGCTTTTTCCTCCATTAAAAAACATTATTCCGCCCAAACCAAGACCCAGACTTTGCTTTAAATCACACCATACTGTTGTTGTTGACTCAAGTTACTAAAATATCAACTTTACAGGAAGCGATATTACGACTATGATGGATATGCATTGTTGTCATGTCCAGCTGGCTTCATACGTCCTCCAGAGGTTGATAAAATCACAGCAGCTATACTCCGTGTAAACTAATCTGCCCATTATGAAATGAAAAACTCTTGGAGAGTATTCAAACACACTTTTCATGAGGGGAAGTCCTCATCTCCCCAAGGTCGTCTCATCTGTCACAGATGCCATGTGGCCTGATGGGAAAGTGGAGGGAAGCTAATGTTCAGTAAAGAGGCCTGTGAGGTCTTGAGCAGCGCTAAAGAGATTGTCTCTCATCAGGATCATAGTTATATATAGTTGATGCTGGTGGAGTGGGGCTATGTGCATGTGTGTGTATTTAACCTCCCTGTTATTTTTACAATAACAACTCTCAGCAGCACTCACTCAGTCTGTTATAGTTTAGGTATTTTGTTTAAATATGTGTGTGTTTCTCGTGCAGACGGTGACTGGAACCCTTGCGCTCTCAGTCTTCACTGCCGTTCTGGGATCTCTGGAGTTCGGATACAACATCGGCGTCATCAATGCACCACAGAAGGTAACGAACTGGGCACTGATCACTTGGATGGAATTTGAAATGATATCCCAGGACTAGAGGGACCAAATTGCACATAAATATCAACCTCCTAAACATGCCAGATATTTTTTTTTCATCAAGATGAATGACTTATTCTCTGAGGAATCAAGGACAAAAATCTGACCCATGATTTGGATCCACACATCATCCTTCCACCAAGTTGCGTGGCAATCAAACCAGCAGTTTTTGCATTATCCCGCTAACAAACACACAAACCACCAACAAGCAAACGGACAGGGATGAAAACATAACCAAATTTGCGGAAGCAAAAATGCTTTGCAAGCGCCTGCCTGGATTCATGGAACAGAGCTGGTGTTTATAGAGGTGCTGGTGCATGCTGGGTGGCTCAAACTGTGGCATTTACCCAGATGTCAACTCAGCTGTTTCTCAAATACGATTTTACAAGGTGGCGTGTTTGATGCCACAACATGCGGCCATGCTGCCTCGAGGCCTGGGATGCAGTGAAGTCGTGCAAGGGAGTTACTGTAAATGCAAAAATTTAATGTTAAAGAGTGAGTGAGAGGGAGAGAGAGAGAGAGAGGGGCGGGTGGTGTGGCTCAGTGTGGCGTGCGTCCTTTAGTTGTATCAACACAACAACAACAAACTGAGAGTCTGGTTTATGTCAAACAACGTCTCACATGATTTCGTTTTTGTCTCATCTGGACGACAACATGGTGCAGTGAGCCTTCAGTGACGCTGCTGCTCTCTGTGCATCTGCACTGCAGCAAGGATACAGATGCACAGATGTTCCACATGTTCCACAACTTGTCAACTTTCTTCTCTGAAGTGTTTAACTTATCTTTTCCCAAACAAGGGTTCCGCAAAGTGTTTGTTTCTTCCATGAACCTGCTTCACAGTGTTTTGGCAGAATAGACCATGTTAGCTGTCACACGTCCACATTCATTCAGAGACATGACGAGTGTCCTCAAGTCAAGCTGGTGTCAAGCTGGTGTTCAGGCATCTGCTCGTAAATCTGTCTTACCTTGACCCTCAGCTGCAAACTGGACTCAGCTGACACGGTTCCACACACACAGCGACGCCAGAATTGAAGATGAGCTGCTGCTGTATCTTAACATGTTTGGTGTGTGTGTGTGTGTGTGTGTGTGTGTGTGTGCTGCACTCATCCACAATAAGGATGTTTCTCTGTTAGATTTCACTTCCCTGTATCAATAAATCAATTTAATATTTGGGATTGTAGCTCTTGTTCATATGCCAACATTAAAACACTAGTAAAATGCTGTAGGCCACAGGTCAGGGTGCAGGTCACATTAAGACACATTCCCCATGTCACATAAGACAAAACAAAAAAAGCAGAACTTAAATGACTTATATAATATATAATTTTACATTATATTTTAGTCTGCTTAGAATAAAACATCCTCAGGTTTTTACAAATGCTGATTTCGATTCCCAATTTCTAATTTCCTCTTGATCTCAAAGCTAAAAACATTTCAAGGCAATAAGTTACTATGATTATATGCAAAAGTCCAAATACATACTATGAATATAACTTAATTAAGAGGTGTTAAAGCCTAAAAAGCTGTAGAGAAGGAAACTTGCAGAACAGATTTCATTTCCCAGATTACCTTGTTGTGTAAACCTGTTGTTTTGGTTTTTTGTCACCTGCAGATTATTGAGGAGGACTACAACGCGACATGGATTCACCGGTATGGAGAACCCATCCCAACAGGGACCCTCACCTCCCTCTGGTCGCTGTCTGTGGCCATCTTCTCCATCGGGGGCATGCTCTCCTCCTTCTGCGTGGGCTTTGTCTCTGAGTGGCTTGGCAGGTAGAGGAACAAGATGTTGAACTCTCTACTTGAAGCTTAAGATTTCTGTGTCGTTTTCCCCAAAAAAGATTCAGGACATTTTCGAGGCTGTAAAGTCACCTGTGCTGCACAGACGTTATACAGCACCTGCACAATGAAATGCATGAAAGCCATAAACAGAAACTGACACTGGGTCGTATTGCATAAATCTAAAGACTGAGATTGTGAATGCAATGAGAGGAGGTCCAGAAGAACATGTAATGACCAGTTCCCTCATGAAACCACATTTAAATTCACTAGACTTAAATTCACTAGACTTATGACTTTTTGTATTTAAGTAATGAAAATCAATGATGTTAAGTAATAATAAAGTAGTAAATACTCTAGTGGCTCATACCATAAGTATATCCCTTTCACTTCTGTGTGGATGCAAGATCTATCCCAACATCCAGTTTCAGTCATTCAGGGGAAACTCCCACTGTAACCTGAGCTTGGATTCAAACTGGAGACCACATCTTCCATTGACTGAAAGGAGATCTCATCCGAGCTGGCAGCACTGGGTCAGGAGGGCTGTAGAGGAGAGGGTGAGAGGGGGGTTGGTGGGTGCACTCAGGACAAGGACGCTCAAAATAATGGAGCATCCCCTTCTGTGGCTCTTAAAGACGGTGGAGCTGCTGTCACCTCCGGGGTCAAAGGGATTTTGATGCATCTCCAGTGAACACGGAGGTCATGTAGCCACCAACCTAGCCTTGCTCACCATTCCACAGTCGCAGCTAAGGATTATGGGTGACCAGGCCTTTCGTGTCAGGGCCTTCACTCTCCGTCTCCATCTCCATCCCCGAGCTCCATATTCTATGTTAAATCACATTTTATAGGTGTGTTTTCTCAGGACATGGGGTCTGATTTCCGTGAAATTTTGTGGAGGACTGAAACTTGACCTGTGGTTCATCATGGTGCAGATCTGGATCTGGGTATTAAATCACAACTAGAAGTCAGTTACGGCCCAATGTGTTATTTACATAATGATTTTTACATTTATAGAGAAAGAGTAAATATAAACGTGTGTGTTTTGTGGTGGTCTTTAGATTAACTATTGTTCGAAACTGTTCCACACAGCTCTCTGTCACGACTTATTATGATGGTCTAAAATTATCTTTAAAACCATGTTGTGATGTCAAACTGCAAGTGCTTTATTCTGGTGAGGCCAGCTGGGGGCTTAGTCACCACTCATCTACTTATCAGAAAGAAGCATTCCAACACCAAGTGACTCCTGTATTTTAATGCAGCACTGCCCCCTGGAGGCCAAAAACAAGACTAGCTTCCCATGTGTGCTTTCAGTAACTCTGGATGACAAATTCATGCTTTTTTCCCAAAACCCTCACTCAATAAACACATTTTATTCCATGGACCTGAATCATGGGGTAGTCTTGATAATAATAATACATTCTGACTAATTTAATTTACACTATGAGATCCAGATGTTTGAGAAGCATGAATCCAAAAATGCTTATCTGTGTTTTTCTTTTTCCAGGAGGAAAGCCATGCTCATAAACAACCTGTTTGCCTTCATCGGAGGAAGTCTGATGGGGATGTCCAAGCTCTGTCGCTCCTATGAAATGTTGATCCTCGGACGTTTTGTCATCGGGGCCTACTGTGGTGAGCAGGCCGCTGTGGCAGTATGTTTTGTATTTGTCGTCTCCTTCATGCCTGATACAAACCATCTGTCTGTCGTCCGTCTTCTCCTCCCTGCAGGTTTGGCATCAGGGTTGACGCCGATGTACGTGGGTGAAATCGCTCCAACGAGTCTGAGAGGAGCACTGGGCACGTTGCACCAACTGGCTATAGTCACTGGTATTCTCATTGCACAGGTACGACCACACACGATAATGTGGACGGACGAACTTTTGACAATTCATGAGACAATTTCTCTAATTCTATTCCTTTGTGTTACTTTATGTCTCACGTTTCTATGTCAGTGATTCATTTTGAAATCATTTGCAGAAGCTTTTGAATCTCATGTCATCTGGTTCCTCTTCTCGTGCAGATTCTCGGCCTGCAGTCATTATTGGGTGGTGAGGACCTTTGGCCTGTTCTGCTGGGTTTAACTGTGGTGCCGACTGTTCTTCAGATGGCTCTTCTTCCCTTCTGCCCAGAGAGCCCCCGCTTCCTCTACATCGTCCGCTGCAAGGAGCATCACGCCAAGAATGGTGAGCGGGGCTGGAGCACTCAAAACAAGAGCGTTGAAACTATAGAGCCCAACTGATTTAAGGCATAGACATATTGGTATTTGCGTTTATGTTTGCTGATACGAAAAACAATTTGACTGAACAGACAATGCAAAAATAAATGCTGATTTATGTTTATATTTTAAATTCCCAAAAAATGTTTATCATCTTAATTTAGATTCTCAATATTAGGTTGAATTTGTATTTATTTACTGTTATTTATAATACAGGAGGAATTATTTTCCATAAATCAAATAAAATTTCATATTTCTGGGAAATTCTCTGGGAAAATGGGGGTCCGATATCTCTGGAGCGGTTTTTGGGGTCAGGGCCTGAAATGTGGGGGGAATTCCTGACTTACAGAACAATACCTTGCTTTCTGTACAAAGAGATTCCAGTATTTGCACATATCAGAACTTAAATTGAGCCTAGTGGCTCTGTGGGTTTCAGCGTAAAGTGTCCTTAAACATGCCATTCAGTCAAACGTGCACTTTTCTTCTTGACTCTCACTCCTTCACGCCCCCCTTCGTGCAGGCCTGAGGAGGTTGACGGGCCGGCAGGACGTGGGCGACATGCTGGCCGAGATGAAGGAGGAGAAGAGGAGGATGGACATGGAGAGGAAGGTGTCCATCCCGGAGCTCTTTCGTTCGCCGATCTACCGCCAGCCCGTCATCATCTCCATGCTGCTGCAGCTCTCCCAGCAGCTGTCCGGGATCAATGCAGTGAGTAGAGACACCCCGCATCCTTCAAACAGACAGGAATCACTGCAGGGTAATATTGACTTAACCTGATTCTGTTCACCCCTCCTGCAGATTTTCTACTACTCCACCAGTATATTCATGAAGGCAGGAGTCCAGAGTCCAGTCTACGCCACCATAGGAGCTGGTGTGGTGAACTGTGCCTTCACTGTGGTCTCAGTGAGTAATCGCACCAACGCACCTTCTCCTTTTTCATGTACTCCGTCTTACATGAGAATTTCATATGAAGCATCTGATCTTTTTGGGATTCATCACAATAAACCTTTCAGTTTCGCTCTGAATCAAAGTGTGCCTCCATTACTGTTTAACACTGTTATCAAAGAGCAAATAAGATAACAGCGGAGGCCATTTTCATTCCTGCATCATCAAGTCTGGTTTGGTTTGGCAAGTTGAGATGTTTCAAAGTCATTCCATGGGTCAAGAGTTTTTTAGCAACATGCTTCCCATGATGGAAATGAACAATCCAGATTTAAATATCTCGACAACTATTGGATGGATTATTGTGAAATTTGGCTCAAACATTCATCTTCTTCTCATCTAAATCTAAATTCATTATCGGGTCAAAATGTTAATTTGTCCTTTCATCGACAGCTCTTCCTGGTCGAGAGGATGGGACGACGGACGCTCCACATGCTCGGACTGGGAGGAATGTGCGTCTGTGCCATCATCATGACCACGGCTCTCGCTTTACTGGTCAGTCTCCCAAAGATGCAAACCTTTTGCACCGTATCACACTGGATACGTCTCCACAAACCCAGTCTGAACAATATTTTTTTTCTACCTGACAGGAAAGCATTCCCTGGATGAGCTATATCAGCATGCTGTCAATCTTCGGTTTCGTCGCCTTCTTCGAAGTGGGTCCAGGTCCGATTCCCTGGTTCTTTGTGGCTGAGTTGTTCTCTCAGGGTCCAAGGCCGGCTGCGATGGCGGTGGCCGGCTGCTCCAACTGGACGGCCAACTTCATCGTCGGCATGTGCTTCCAGTATGTCGCTGTGAGTATCCCACTGCAGTAGCTCTGGCATTTTCTGCATTGTCCTTGGAATGTTGTCTAATCTTGACGTCCTCGGCAGGATCTTTGTGGGCCGTACGTCTTCCTGATCTTCGCAGCACTCCTTCTCTTCTTCCTCATCTTCACATTCTTCCGGGTGCCAGAGACTCAAGGAAAGACCTTTGACCAGATCGCGGCAAGCTTCCACCAGCACCCAGTGGGCGGAATGATGGACATGGATATGGACATGGACATGGATAAGCCCAGCACCGAGCTGGACTACTTGGGCGAGGAGAGCATCAACTAAAGGGCTTGAAGAGAGACAGACCTGGGATGGGACTGAGTACAGATTGAGATGAACTGTCTATGGGCCTAACTCCAAACATTTTATTTTCTGACATGTATAGCAAGGTCTATCGTTGTATTCATATTCAGATTGTGGTGCCGTAGAAGTGTTGAAGGTGTGTGACCGTGTGGGTGTTTTTAATTTGCTGGTACCGCTGCAGTACGAGGTTAAAGGTTAAGAATTATTTCTTGACAAAGGCTAAAAACCTGCAGATCGAGGTGTAAGATGCACATGAGGAGAAGGTGTCTGGACTGTTGAGGCATCGACTGCCAGTGTGATGATAATGATGCACTTGGTTGCAACACTGATAAATTGAAGTGGAGAGGGAGGAGGATTTCCTGCACTTTATAAAAAATAACCAAAAAAAAATACATCCAAAGGTTTTCAGTCAGATTTAAAAAAACAAGATGTCCTTTTTGTTGTAGTCAAGCTGGGAACACACTTAACTTCTGGTTGTTAATGAAATACCACTGGAGGACCACATTCTGCTATGTAAAGAATAGGAAACCACATTTACATATACTACAGATTTTTATTTGGATCTGCACCATATAAAACACGCACATAAATATCAGTCGCCTGAACACGTCTGATATTTTTTCTGTCTAGAGACGTAACTTTCTCTCAGAGATCAGAGAATGTTTTGAAAAACGCACTACCGCATAGACTGAATGGGTTCTTCCTGGTCCTAAACCTGAGTTTTTTTAATAGACTGCCAAATAACAAATGCAGATGAAAACAACCTCCTTGGCAGAGATAATAAATCTAAAGGGTTTGAAACTCAAGTGGAAGGAACAAGGTTTAAATCCTACAAGTGCAGGATTAATGTAGTTTGTATTGTATTCACGCAACGCTCTGGTTTGGAGTTTAGCTTATTTTCTAAACAGAAACATTATATACACAACACCTTCATATTCCTTTAAGTGTCATTTTAGAAGTTTTTTTTTTTGAGTAAAGAACAAACCTAACATGGTAAAGTGCCAACATTGCATGATGACCCAATAATGTAGAGAAAGTCTTCACTGCCAAACTGGGGTTTTAATCATGAGGCACGTTCATGTTTAACTTTAAGTATTTTTCTGATCATGACAAACTCATTGCACAATCTGTAGAAATACTACTTTTAAAGTCTATTTTAATACTTCATGTGTACATAGTGTGCTGTTTGGTTACTGATGCGGTTTTAAAAAAGGTGTGAGGTTTAAAATCTTTATACTCTCTAGCTGGTGTTTAGTTTTGTAACCTGAAGCGAGATGTGCAGTCTAAGAAGGGTGAGTTTTGTATGACAAGTTTGTGTGTTTTTCTGGAATCTGTCACGTGTGCCGTTCTTTTAATCACCTTCTGAAGAAACATTCAGGGAGGACCTGGAATTGTACAGAGAGAATATTGACATTGTGACTAGAGGTTGTAAATAATATCTGAAATCACCTTTCCAGTCATCCATTAATGACTCGACATCAGTAAGTTTCTGAACCGTTCGTCAAATGTGAACGAATGACAGAATCCTGAGATTTGCAAACATGATTTATTAATTAGCATTTTCAGCACTGACATTGCACATTATCCCCTCCAAAGAAAAGCACACACAAATAAGTAAAACAAAAGAAATAAGTTTCTTTTTCAATATATATCCTCAACTGAGGACGATGACGGGAGTCAGTATGTTTTTAAGTGATTTGAGGTGGTAACTTAACTAAACCGACTCCCATAATGCACCACCACCCTCACACCTGCTTGGTTTTCCCCTTTTCAACCAAATTAAGTTAAATAAAATTCAAGGCTGGTTCTTCTAAACTACTTGATGTGCCCAATGTGATCAATTAAAGAAAAATAGAGTAAGGGGGGGCGGAATAACTGGGCTACCAAGCAGATCTTTTCCATTTCTTTTTTTTAAAGATGTACTTTTTAATTTCTAAATATGCACCCACCAACCACCTGGATCCCATTTGTTCCCTACCCTGTCCCTCTCCAAACAGAGCGTCTAGACTGGACAACACAAGACGAAAGGAGGGGAGAAGGGATCTGAGGGGACAACAGTGGGATAAGGTGGGTTGGAGGATGGGGGAGTGCAGGGAGGGGAGAGCAGTGCACATGTTCTGAAAAAGGTCCAGTCCTTCACCTCAAGGACCTACAAGAAACACACAACAAAAGGAAATAAAACGCATACAGAGACACAGGGAGTGAAAGAAAGACAGTATAGAAACAAAGACATAAAAACACAAAAGACACATCAAACCCTAAAACGAGGATTATATTACATCTGAAATCCTGAGTTTGAGTAAAAATGTCCCCTGCGTTAAACAAAGACTGAGTCCAACACGTCGCGTCTTTAGAGACTCAACATAAAATGACTTCCAAACCTTTTAGTGCCACAGAGCCACTTTAAATCTCTTTTGACTCCGCCCACTAATGTCCATCATCCTGCCTTCTGTAATAGACATCCAATGTGGGACGTGTTGCACAAGAACTGTCTCCCTTATACCCTCCCCATGGCTCCCACCCTGCACCACATTAACGTGGGATCCCACCTCTTGCCAAAGGTCACGTGACTGTCCTCTCATTGACGTCACTCTGTTGGTGCTGGGACTGTTGCGTCAGCTGCCTGCTGTGGGGTAAGGACAGTCAAAATATTTGTCCAATCTGAGCAAACAGTGGCGATAATACACAATAATGATATTTTAAGTTCCAGATCTTACCTCAGGTGATTTGGGGGGTTTGGGAGAGCTCTTCGGGGAGGACTTTGGTGATTTCGAAGAAGATTTTAGGTCAGCTGGTTTTGAGTTCTGAGGCGGGGTACCGGGCTCTGACGCAGACTTCTCTGTATCATTCTGTAAAGTATGAGCAAGCAGAAAAAAAATAAAGTTTTAAGGATGCACCAACAAATTATATGCACAACAGTCAGGCTGTTAAAATACATTTTCCCTTAAAAAGGTCAAATCATAGATTTAAAGATTTGGTGCAAGATCCAAGCAGATTCTCACATTAGGGTTTACATTTGGTGAGCATATTTGATTGGCCAATAGGAACTAATCATAGGGAAAAATATGCACATCCAGTAATAAATAGGGTTTATGAATGAAATTTGTATTAAAGACATGAATATCAGATTCCCAAAATTACAAACATCCCAATAATTAAAGATAATGTGAAATATTTAAACTGCAGGCAGAGACTGAATGTATCCATCGTCCTTCCCAGATAAAAACAGAGACCATCAGTTCCACATTGGTCTTGTTTGTGGTTGTATTACAGTGTAATCATTGAAAAAGAACTGCAACACACGGAGACATTTCAAACTATACATGCCACCGAACAGTTCTCTTAAAAACTAATTCTAACACAGCAGAATAAGCGTTAAATATGTTAATTTAAGTCAGGACACAGTGGTAGAAAGCAAAGGTGAAGACATGAATGTTTACATTGCAACATTTTTAACTGAACTAAAAAATCTAAGATGATTCACTGCAAATGCATCCAGCCCCTTTGGTTGGAGGCAAGCTCCTGTTTCAGAGCTGGATGCTGGGAAATAAAAACAAAAGGCAACTTCACATTTGTGCCCAAAATCCTCAGCACCCTGATTCTTTAGGCCTTTTGGGAAATGGTCCAAACCTTTTTCACAGAACACAAACAATCTCACTCACTCACTTTAGAGACAGACGACTCGGAGTTCCTTTGCCGGCGGCGTCTAGTTTGGCGCCGCTGTTTCTGGCCTTGGCCCTCATCTGCTTCTCCGTTTGTCTGCGGGCCCTCAGAGGCTTCTGTTTGCTTCAGCTCACCCTGCTCCTGGCTATGCTCTTCAGCTGCTGTCTGCTGCCCGTCTGCAGCCTGATCAGGATGTGAGCGAGGCCGGAACGGTCTGTGAATCCCGGCACAAGAGGGAGGATTCAATTATTTCAACTTCTGACTTGTAGAAGTGATTCAAACCTATAGAATTTCAGGAAGTGGTGTCAAAGTCACCTGCGGTACGGACGCCAGAATCTAGAACGTCGTTGTGGTTGCTGCATTTGGTCACCTTCTGTTACGCCGTTGTTTTGGTCTCCAGACTCACCCTGAGAACAAAACATCAGACTGATCGGCCACAGAATGATTCTCAGGTCTTCTCATTTTCACATTTCAATGCTTTTAACAGTTCAATTAAGAAAGAAAATTGTTCTGCTCCAGCTTACATCTTGTGCCTCTTGCCGTGGTCTGTAGGGCCTACGACGGCGCGGCTGTGGTCTCACTCCATCGCTCTCTCCTGACCCCTCGCCCTTGGCAGCAGGGGCTTGGCCGTCAGCTGGTTTGCTCTGGTCCCCAGGCCGAGGGCTGCGGGGGAAGAACCGTCGACGGAAACGGCGTTTGTTGGGTGCGTAGCGACTCCCTTTGACTGGAACACCACCTGGGCCGGTCACATTGGACGCTTCTGAGCCCTTAAGGGACAAGAGAGAGAAATTTTAACAGTGGCAAACATTTAAATTTGTTGTGATCGCATCATGATATGCTGATTCTTACCTTGGCAGCTTCAATCACGTCGAACTCTACGACCTCCCCGTCTCCCACGCTGCGGAGGAACTTTCTAGGATTGTTCTTCTTGATCGCCGTCTGAGGAGACAGATTCAGCATCAAATGACGGCATGTTATCTTTGTTGCTTTAAATGTAAATCCGGCTCATCTTACCTGATGAACAAATACATCTTCTTTGGTATCGTTCCTGCCAAAGATAAAAGCTCATAATTAGGAAAATTGATTAATCCTTTTTTAGCCCTGTCAGTATCTTGGTTAGTTGTTTGTAAGCAAGTTTAAGCAAAGACTACTGGATGGATTACAATAGAACTTTGAAGGATTTTTGTGGGAATCTGGATCAGTGGACAGGAACTTTTTGATACCGCTTAAAAATTGTGATGGTCAAAAATCAGTTCCCCCGGGAATATTTCACAGATCTTGAATAAAACAAGTCGGCGTATTTAGGGGGATGATGTCTACGAGTTTGTGCAGTTTCAAGGTTTAAGTTAAGGGGACTGTTGAGCCTTGGTGGAAGTATGTGTTCTACTTGATACTACTCCAGCTTTTAATACACTTAAACTTGAAGATGTATAAAAGTAAGTAAAAGTAAACAGTACCTGTTTATGAAGCCGTAGCCATTACGTACATTGAACCACTTCACCGTGCCTTGGACCAGGGTGGCTGCGACAGTAGATAGCACATGATTAAGTCACATATTATGCAGACATTCATCGAATATAGACCGGCGTTATCTCACTCTCATCAACGAAGGCCTCGCTTGCAAGAAACTGGAGTGTTGTGGGTCAATCATTAACAGTGAAAAACTTTGAAACCAGCTCTGAACTGGGTCACGAGGGAGGGCCGCTGAAACACAGGTACACGTCGCTCACCTATATAAAAAGGTCATCAAACACAAGACCCCTCAGTGTGTCACCTGCTTCACCGGGTGGGGGGCTCAGTTTTCCCAGGAAAAACAAAAACCCCTGAATGCATCTAATTGGTAGAAGATCATTTGCACCTGCAGAGGGGAGCGCGCACGTCCGGGCTGGGCGCGTGGCCGCGGATAAAGAGGACGTTTAGGTCATGTGTGAAAAACAGATTCAAAAAACAACGTGGATTCTAGAAAAGTTACACTAATTAAAAGTAGTTCGACTCCAATGTGGGAGAAGATGTCAAGAAAAAAGCTTCCATGTTGTATTTGGAGGTTAGAAATAAACTATTTGGGGAAAATAGAAATCTCCCATGTTGGATTTGGAAGTTAAAAGTTCAACTACTTGGCAAAAGCTTCCAAGATGGTTTTCACAGTAAACTGGTGAAATAACCGAGTGTAAAAGTGAGAACACGTGCTGCTGATAAAAACGAAACACAGGTTAATCAGTGATTGACTCAATGTTCCCTGTCGACGAGGTTTTAAAATGAAACTTGAAGTTAAACACATGAAACTGTCTTTTTCAACATGACGGACAACAGCAGTGATGAACGAAGTGCTCCACGCATTTTAACACGTTACCCCCACCACAGCGGCTCCACCTGAACCCCTTCACCCACCTATGACTTTCCTCTCCGGCTGTGGTTTGTCTTCTTCCACCGGTGCCGATGGTGGATCGCTCTGCGCCTCGGCGTCGGTCATGCTCTCTGTCGGTTTGGCGCACGTCTCTCTCCTCGGTCCCCTCCGCCCTCCTGATCGGCCCGGAACTCTCCCTCCTCCGGCTCCTCTAACTTTTTATCTCGACATCCCCTCCGGCCGCCGCGAGCAGCCCGCGCCCTCATTGGCTCCCGCGGGTCCTCGAACCGGGCCGTGATTGGCTGGACGCGGGGGGCAATTGGGAAGTAAAGGTGCAGGTGGAGAACGTGCAGGTGAAAGGAGCTGGATTTTATTGTTTTATATAGATTTCTTTATGAGCAGGGGTTTTATAAGCTATTTAATATTTAATTCTTAACTGCCACAGCTCAACTTTTACTTAACTTTACATTTTTACTCCCAATCGGGTGGAGGATCACTGGAGAGGTGGATGCATGTTTGTGATGAATTGAATTATAGATGTTTTGCTATTGATTGATATAGATATAAATGAGAGATGTATTGATATAGATTGATATAGATGATAGCTGTATTGATAGATATAGGGTAGGTCTGTTTACTATTTATTGTTGTTTTGTGCTTACTTTTTAAATATCTTAAATTTATATTTTAATGTTCAACATGAATAATTAAATGAATCAATCAATCTAGACAGCATTTTGTCTTTTTCTCGAAATGCGCAGAGAAAATAGAAGTGACCTTTACTGGAGCCAGCCTCCAGGGGGCGATCAGTACTCCTTGGCTTCACTTTTGGGTCACAGTCATGTCGTCCATCTTTGTATGATTGAGACCATGACAGATAAATTACTATGTTGCTTCAACCTGTTGAATAGGTTCATATGAACAGTTCTGTTTATGGTCAGGAACTTTAAGATAATATATGATGGACTATCAACAATGTACGCCTTTAACTTTTGAAAGTAGTCACTGTGCTCTGAGGAGGACACTCTTCAGTGGAGTTTCATGTGACATATCAGGACAGCAATGATTGAATCTTCATTTTGGGGTTAACTATGCCTTTAACTACAAGCAGCCCCCAGCACATAGGTCACGGAACTACAATTTCACTGAACTAAATTTAACCCGGCTGCTCCAAGAACTGGCAAGTTCAACAAAACCATTCAGTGTGGAGAGAAGCCATGTGGGCCTCTGACCAGAGATAATTCAGGCAGGCAGCAGATGAGCACACTGTCAGGAGGGCTGTGGATTCAGAAATCTTTCAAAGATGCAGGATAAACCAAATGAAGAGATACCTGGATCTTGATCATTTCATTTTATTAAGTAAACCTTAATAAAAATCTTGTGCACACACTGATCCAGGCCATATACTTTAAATACAAGTTTAATTATATGTAAAGAAAGTCACAAATGCACCACACAGGCCTTAGAGTGTCACAGTAAAAATCATTTTACAACTTCTTCTACAAATCACGGCTAAAAACGTTTTAAACTAATACAAATAATTGTGACAGATATGTGTGGTTTTTAATCTTTTTAACAAACTGACCCCACAGTTTGTCTTCACAGTAGAAGATATCTGTATTAACATCCCTGAATGGCTCATCACAGTAAAGTCCTGAGAAGAACCGAGTGGCCCCTGAGGCACTAGAATGAAATGCCACGCATGCGCAGAACGTGCCAACATGCCGAGGTCTATTCGTTTCATTGGCACCATGGATGAAAAGCAGCATCAAGCTACATTAAGTTAGCCAGGAGGAGACAGAGGAAGGTGCAGTGTAAAACTGTCTGTTTGTGCAACACATATGGGAAATAAGAAACAATTTATTCAAATAAAAAATCAAGGGAAAACACTATCCTTTCATTCCAGCTTCACTTTTGAAAACAAATGTCAAAAAGAGTGTGTCCTCTAATCACATACCTACTTGAAGACAAGCCTGGATAAGATGCAAAATGCATTTAGACTTTTTTCTGCATTGTGAGAAGTAGAAAACAATATCTCCCACCAGGAGCGAGGTCAAACTTGTGGAAAGAAGAATCGATGTATGAAGTGTATTCAACATGAATCCTAAACACAGTCAAAGGATGGAGCTGTATGGAGAGTTAATGGAGATCACTTGATGTATATTACAAAATCAGTTAGTTAGAGTTTATATCTTACATTGTAATGCAAGATAATTTATATAATAATGTATAATATGGTGTAACTGCAAGAGAACGTGCTTCACATGTTTGAACATAAGAATAACAATACATAGTCGATATGATTATATGGTGGTATACAAGAGATCTTGTGCAAGTATACAAATACACAGAATATCATGGTATATGGTGTTCAATATGAATGTGAGTACAAATGGTATGTGCTTTACATAAACTATAGGGATATTTGAGTAATAAGAAGGAGGAGAAGAAGAAGAAGGAGGAGGAGAAGGAGAGGAGGAGGAGAAGAAGAGGAAGAGAAAGGAGGAGGAGGAGACGTCTTTTATTAAACATTGGTCTTTTATTGTGACAGTAGTAGGAGGAAGTACAGTGAGGTCTGTGTGATGAGGAGGCCGTGGTGAGGAGCAGGAGCAGGAGACAGTGAAGGTGGAGAACCAGGCCACTGACGGTTCATACTCGGCGAGCTGCGGGGCTCACTCTCTCTTCGGCCCGGCGGCTGACAGTGACGCTCGTGTGGCTGTGGACGAGGTCAACTCCGAGCTGGACCACTCTCCCACCAGCGGGGACAGAAGAGGAGCAGAGCGGACACGAGTGGAATGAAAGCGGAATAATAAGCGAAGGAGGATAGCTCTTAAGAAAGACGAGAGAGAGAGGGGGAGCGACATCGCTAACGGAGCCAGCCAGACGACCCGCTAGCTCGGCTACAGGGAGGCAACCAGAGGAGGAGGTGGAATCACCGGGAGAAGAAGTAACCCAGAGAGGAGCGCTATCACCGTCCACACTCGGGTAAGTTCTTATCAAAACACCCGGCAGACGGGGCGTGTTTGCGCCTGAGCAGAGGAGCCATCCTGTGCACATGTGTCTCCGTCTCTATTATGATAAATCCCCCTTTAAACGCCCCCCGCATGCGGTGAGACCAGTGCGGGAAGCTAGCGCACCACCTGCAGGGTTAGCTAACTCACCTCATCCCCGCCCGGCGGCTGGGATGGACAATAAAAGAGCCCCCCGGCGCTTCTCACGACATCTTCCGCTCTTATGAGTTCCATTCCACCGTTATTGACATGTTATAAAAGTTCTACACATTTAAACACTCGGGCCACCTGCGGTAAAGTTGTCTTTAACTTAAGTGATGTTGTTGCCGCTGGCAGCCATCACGAGTATTAGCTTAGTCATTACAGTGCGTTAGCGGGCCATATATTCAACCCCCTTCACCGGCTGTACCGACGGGCAGCGGCGGGCTGGAACAACCGGTAACCACGTTAGTATCGCGGCGGGTAGAAGGGGTTTTGTTGTGTGCGGTTGACCGTGGCTGCGACCAGGGCCTCGGCCTCGGTGCCCGCCCGTCAGTGCGCATGGATGAGGGCGCACGGACAGCTAAACGGTACCGGGGCCGTGGCACGTTGTGTGCGCACTAGGCCTCAGTCGAGTCCTTTATGTTCAACCCCACTTTAAGACACACTTCACGGCTCAACACCGTCACTATCTTATAATCAAGCTCGGGTAACAACATGGAGACCAGTCGGTGTAGTCACGCCCGGCTTGAAATTTGATTTATGGCTCATTAGCGCGGATTAGCGGCCCTGAGTCTGACGGTTTACCCGGTGACCAGACACCACAACCGGGCAGCAAACTCCTCAACTCGGGGGTTCAGGTTGTTTTTCCTGAAGCACATTGTCAATAATCCACTTTCTTTTGAATACAGCTGCTGAACTTGTGTGTGTTGTTGCAGTGTGTCGCTGGGCTTCGTCTCCACCGCTGAAGTTTGGCACAAACACTGAAGAACTGCAGCGACATAGTTTTTTCTTTTTGTGATATTTATTTGCGTTTTATTTCTGCAGTCGGATCCTTCGTGTACTTGTGCGAACAGGTGCCGTGCTCCTGCTGCTTTATTTAGCCACGTCTGCTCTGCGTCGTTGAATGAAAGTGTCATTTCCCGTGTGCACCCCCCAGGTTGTACTTCAGCCCAGCAGCCAACTCTCACACGTCCACGTTCCTCTGCTGCTCCTCCTGACACATATCCACCAGCCTGCACTGACCAACTTGTACTCATACCTCTTACTCCTTCTCCTGCTCACCTCCTGTGTGTGCAGTAACGCAGCAGTTGCACCGATCTGACCTGAAAGGAAAAGGTTATCTCAATTTGAGGTTTTCTTTGTGGATATCCGCACCTGAAGTTCTTTTAGCAGCAGAAGTCGGTATTGAACACCACTTCTTATCATATATTATTTGAAATCACAATTTTATTGCCAGTTTCATGCTTTAATTCTATTCTATGTAAACATTTCAATTCATTTCACAAGGCATCTTTTGCAGAAACCAAGAAATTGTATTCATGCGGGAACAGAAAGTCCTAATAAGACCATTCAGAACTCTTTTCAGGCTGAAACACCTGATGACACTATGGTGCACAACTGAAGTTATGTCCCTTACACCTGCTAACATCTGCTGGTAGTTTGGAAACCTGAATTGTGCAGAAGATCTTCAGACGTTCAAGACATATCCAACACCTTGTCCTATATTCTAAAATCTCTCATTATAATACAATTATCTAAATCCCATCATCCTGTGTGTTGGCCCCACCACAGCAGGCATGGCAGACGCAGACCTGGACTTCCAGACCGGTGATGCCGGGGCATCCGCCACCTACCCCATGCAGTGTTCGGCCCTGCGCAAAAATGGCTTTGTTGTGCTGAAAAACCGACCCTGCAAGATCGTTGAGATGTCCACCTCCAAGACCGGCAAGCACGGCCACGCCAAGGTCAGTAAACCTCTGAGGGCTCCCAGGGAAACAGTGATGGACATTTCTTTTGCGCTTTATTGCACGAATCATACGAATAAATATATTTAAAATATAAAATGAAAAAGGTCAGAAAATAGCTGTGTTCAACATTTACAGTAGCAGGGGCATTTGCTGTAGTATTTATATCTGAAATAAACCCTCTAATATGAATGAGCATTAATGGAAACTTTCAGTCTGTACAACAACGTGAACGTGTCCCTGGTGGGTCACAGTTTCCCTCCTTAAAAACATGTTCAAACATGATACACTTGGCTAAATTACTGATGGACCCTCTTTGAAATGATCGTATGTAACACAGGAGCTTGGTTCACACATTTAATATTTTGTACTGATTGGTAACATGTAGATAATGTTGGGTAGAATCAAGTGTATATTTTGTTTTGTGCTTCAATTCATCTTTCGATGTTTATTCTGTTGCTTGTGCAGGTGCACATGGTTGGTATCGACATCTTCACTGGTAAGAAGTATGAGGATATTTGTCCCTCCACCCACAACATGGACGTCCCCAACATCAAGAGAATGGATTACCAGGTGAGACAGCAGGAGGACAGACGAGATATTTTACACATCTTCACTGTTTGTTGTAATTAGTATTAAATAAATCTGTTCTAAACTCCATCGTAAAAGCCATATAATGTAACATTACTTTCTCAAAGTTTGGTCTGGGGCCACACAAAGTACTAGAACCACAAATATACAAACTATAGATACTAATATATTCATTACCTATAAGTAATAACACATTTTTTCCATGTTGTGTAAGTGTCCATGTGAGAAGCAGATTATTTCTCATCACAATCACATCTTAAGTATCAGTAATACTCACAAACTATCTTTAATAAGCAGAAGATTCTTGGATGAAAAGAAAATGGTGCAGAATTTCCTGTAGAGATGAAACCAATCAGTCCGAGTGCTGCAACACACTTTCTGCAGTTTTGAATGAAGCTGGGGGGAACAGGAAGAAACAACGTCATTGGCCTGAGTAATGAAAAAAAAAAATTCTGAAATGTTTGTGCGTGAAAAAAATAAAAACTTGTTCTTCCCCCCTCCTGACCCTTCTTCTGTTCTGCTCTTGTCCCTCTGTTCTGCAGCTTATTGGGATCCAAGAGGGCTACCTGTCTCTGCTCCAGGACAGCGGGGAGGTGAGAGAGGACCTGAAGATCCCTGAGGGAGACCTGGGCAAAGAGATCGAGAGCAAGAACGAAGCCGGAGAGGAGATTCTGGTCAGTACTGTCGCCTCTCTACACTCTTTACTGCTGTGGAACTCAGACAGGACATATTGTGTTCATGGTGGAATCTGAAAATCCAGGATTCATTTTGCTTTCTCATAGGTTGGATCTGGCCAAACTCTGAAACATGAGGAAAATGTCTTTACCAAAGCACACACACATTAACACTTCGTCCTTCTTCCAGATCACCGTTCTAAATGCAATGAACGAAGAAGCCGCCATCGGCATCAAAGCCTTGGGTAAATGAGCCACTGCAGGTAAATACAGAGCCACAGCTGTTTGGACACAACACGCAGCTGTCCTCTCAACCCCCCCCAACACCCCCCCACCTCAACTAGCACCTAAAACAAGCCTGCCTGAAGAAGAGTGTGTGTGTGTTTGTGTGCGTGCGTGCACTGTGTAAAATTGTGTGTTTGTGTGTATGGGTGTTACACCACAAGCCACCAGCATGTGCCATGCCAGTGCAGGTGTGTGTGATATCATGTAGAGTTTATTGTTCATCAGTGGAGCGAGGGGGAGGCAACTCCAGTCGTTTTAAAGTGAAGTGGATTTCTGGGGCCGGACCCGATACTGATATTAGGGAGTAAAAAATATCTAATACTGATCAATTGGCATATATATATATTTATATTTTAATGATTCTTAAGATGTTGTTATCATAAGTTTTAGAATGCTCTTATATTTTGAGAAAAAAATACTTTTGGCAATAAGCAGCAAGGAGAACTCATGCTCCACTCCTGGATCCAAAATCTCGAATCAATCTCATTATTCTTTGAGAAATAATCAAAATGACTGTAAAAACGCACTTTACAGTCTTTCAACTTTGTTTGTTCCTCATTTTAACACAGGGGACAGGCTGACACTCTGATATTCCCCGTCTATAATGATACGCAGTCTAAAATTGACGTTATTCTCATATTTATTCTCAAAATCATAGATAAAATAAAATGAATCTGAGTAAACACAAACACTGTGAAAGCCTCATGTAGGCCGGTTTTATTGACCAATCGATAAATCAGTCAGGCTCTGTTAAAATCCATGTTATTCCATCTTATGTCAAAGCATAATTGTTTTGTGTATATATTTATATGTGTGTTTAAACTGCACCTTATTGGGGTTTGAAATTTGATGAAATAAATGTAATAAATTAAAGGCTTGTATGAAATGATGGATTTGCCTTCCCCTCGATGTACTTTGTTTCATGTTAACACTATTATGAGCATGTGTATTATTTTTGCGTAGCACTATCAACATATTAAGGAAAGCTTAAGGTTCATTTTGTATTTTTGAGCTGTTGTATAGGTTTTTCTGGTCTGTTGGTCGCATTTTCCAGCCTGCTGCTTCCTGTACTTCCTCTTGAGAAACAGCTCATAGCGTTGTTGTAACTGTTGGGTCAAAACCGTTTCATGCACTTTCTCACCTGCAAACTGTGGGCTGCACAACAGTGTCCACAGAAATAAAATAAAATGTTGTACATGCAATGTTCCCTCTGCAGAGGCTAAAGTTACAAGTTAAAAACACTTACTGCTTCATTAAATTGTTTCTGTCGTGTTTATTTTTATTTTTTCCGTCTCCGTTTTCTGACTCCTCTTTCCTCTCGTTCCTCCCCTCCCCTCCTCTTTGTAATTCTGTTTCAGGGGCGAACGAGATGCACTGGACCTGGGGAAAAGGAGGGGACATTGCCTCGTCAATGCTACTCTCCCTCTTTTCTTTCTTTTTCGTCTCTTTGGTTTTCATACTCTCTTTTCTCCCCTGCTCTGTTCTCCAACCTTCCTACCTTTGGCTTCAATTAGAGATGAACTTGAATAAATAATTGGAAATTTGAATTGTAAAAAACAAAATATTGTACATTCACACATGATTAAACCACACATCCAAGACCAGATGTACAGATGTAAAGACGTGTCGAGGAAGGTTCTCCAACTAATAACTCTCGAGGTCTGCAAACACTGAGTAACTACCTTCCACCAGGGGAAAGAAAAACGTTGATAACGTCAAAGCGGTTTTGTTATATACGTTCCCCTGTTTTATCAAGGGCTTCAACTCTAGACCTGCATTGTTCTGTTGAGGCTTGTTCAGTGCGTGTGTCGTACAGGACCGGACACATGACTCGGTGTGGTCTCTTCTGTACGGCACTTTTCTTTCAGCGATTCATTTGAACAAGTCCGTCCTTCTGCTGTTGATTTCATCACCTGAAACTTGTCTATTAAACAAAAGGTTACCAACATGGCACACCGAGGTTCTTCTTTTTGTCTCACGAGAAAACAAACCCTGCTCTGAGAATTAAGAGATTCTCAAACCTAAATTCATTGGCTTCTTAAAAAAAGATCCTCAGAGCGAGCCGTCACACAGCTGCTTGGAGGAAACGACTTAAGGAGGTTAAGTTGTGGCAGTTTGGTTTCCTTCACTTGGGTTTATACCAGAATGTCTCCATGACCACACAAAAATAAAGAGGACATAAACTGTTGGATGTGTCATTCAATTATCTTTTTTATTTAGCAACATAAAAGCTTTAAAACAGAACTGACTTGCTTTACGCAGCAGAGGAAAACAGCAAATCCTCCATAACTGTTAATGTGATGAACCAGAAATCAGATTGAAATTTAAATTAGGTGTCAGTTAATCCAACGTGTTTCTGCATCGGTACAGTTCATCAGTGTTTGTGAGACTGAGCAGAAATGGCACCACTAATGTCGTTGAAGGTTTTTGTGACTTCTAAGCGAGCAAAGTCTTTGCAGAGAAGCTCAGCCCTGCACGGAAAGATGTTAGTTCACAGAGAATAAGCTCTGGTTCATGCAGATATTAACATTTCACTGCACAGAAGCACCTCCAGAGTAGCATTACAGTGTAGGTGTAATAATACGCTATTTTACAAATTAACAGCATTTAACATTATGTAAAAAAAAAAATAAAAGCACATGTCAAAACACAACTTAAAACCAGATTCTATACATGAAATAAAACACAAATCTTCTGGTGTGATCCAACCTAATGAGTTCTGTTGAAGATTCATTACTTGTCCAAAATGTTTCTCCAGAATCCAGAGGGCAGCTGTGAGCGATGGCGTAGTTGAACGTGGCTGTAGGTTTACTTGCCGTGGTGGTAGAACCTCTGCCCGCTCTGGCTGTGGGGGAGGAAGCCGTGGCGAGGAGCGCTCTGGGGGGAGCTCTGGAGGGAGCTCTGGAACTGGGCCTGGAGTTGGAAATATAGAGCATTGTGGGGGTTTCCAGTAAATGTTGTGCACATCGTGATTAGAAACACGAGGTGGTGGTAAAGAAAAGTAAATTAATGCAGACATAAGAGTCAGTTCTATGAAATTAGAACGTATCAAATGATTTCCGGGTAAAAATCAAACCAGATTTTCTCTATAAGCTAAATCAATGACAAGGATTAAGCCAAAAATAACTACTATTTTATTCCAATCTGATCTGACTGGATGCAATTTGAACTTTAAACACAGTTAAAATATATTTATTTCAGCAATGTACAATATTTTGGTGGTACACATCACTGAAGGAGGTGTGGCAGGTTCTGCTCCTCACCACTTTTTAAATCCACACTTACATGTGGTGTTTTCAACTAAACATCTTACACATGACCATTCATGTACAATGAGCATGTGCGCACTGGTGTAAACGAGGAGCTGTGTGTGTTTTGGGAGTTCACCTTTGCTGTGGGAATCTGCACCGTCATTGATGGTGTGGGCAGCAGCCCTGGAGCAGAAGGATGCATCGTTGGTGGATGCATCGGCCTCAGAGTGCCCTGTGAGGCAGGAGAGAAATAAACACATTTGTAATCAGAGAAAGTGCAAAGTGAGAGACTGAAGAAAATATCAGATTCAGTGTAGTTGCTTCCATAACATGACAGACTGCAAATAACAATTTTCCATTATTTAACACTTTATTTTGTGTCTACAATCTAACTGATCAACTCTAAATGAAGCTTCTGTGAAATGTGAAAAGGTCTCACAGCATCAGTGAAGCCCGACTGTTGGTTGGCATGTTCCAGCTGCTTCTGAAGAGGTATCCCTGCTCCGGGGATGTATCCTGCAGGAGAAACACAAGTTACCATTTACTGTATAATTAAACAATAATGTGCAGTATCTGATTTTAGGTTACTTTAGGTACTGACCAGGCTGAGAGGTGAAGTGACTGTGGACGGGGTAACCAGTCTGCTGATGGGGGAGATACTGCATGGCCTGAAACGCAGACGCACCTGAGAGAGAAGGAAAGGCATTGAGTCTCATCAAAATAACTACATCCCAGGACTCAGGAATTCATCAACAATGTATATATATATATGTTAAAAATGATGTGTGATTCCTGCCACATAAACAAACACATCATGTACCTCTGATCTGAGAGCTGCTTGCAAAACTGACAGATGGTCCAGGGGCGTAGGTGGATGGATGCTGGGCCTGAGCCACTCCGTAGGGCTCATGGACCCCCTGGCTCCCACTGAACTGCCCGTGCTCTGCTGAGGACGAGCTGAAGCCCGCCGTCTGATAGTGACGTGTCTTAAAGGAACGAGGAGGAAGAGAGAATTACCGGTTTCTTGCTTCACTTAATAGTTTTAGGGTAAAAAGGTTTGAGACGATATAAATCACTCAAAACTCTGCTGAGAATCCCGCACAAGTATGTTAAAAAAAAGTAGGGGTGGTTTATGTCCATTTAAAAGGTGAAGGTGTCTGTGAAGACATTAGTGAAGACTTCTTTACTTACTGGAATCACAGAAGCTGGGAACAGCTGTTTGCTTCGTTCTCCGAGCAGCGCACCAGGTCGATTGTGGCTGACGGAACCGCCTGAGCGAGGAAATCGAGAAAGAAGGATCAGCTGAAGGACAAAATCGATGTTCCACATAAACCCAGATGAGGTCAGAATATAAATAAAAGCTGGAAAGCATCTCACCTTGAATGCTTAGGAGGTGCTGCCCTGCATGCATGGGCAGACTGGTTTGGTAGCTGGCTGATGTCAGTGTTGTGATATCACTAGAGGACGGGGGCCACAGATATACAACTCAATTCCAAGAATACTTCCTTAAAAACCTAAAAATAAAAGTTGAAAGAGTGAATTTTGAATAATAGAAAAAAACACTACCTCTGCTCCTTTCTGCGTCTCTTTTCCTCTTCATGGAGAACTTTCTTGAGCTGTAGGAAAAGCTGATGTTTCTCTTCTTGGAGTCCCTGAAGTTTCTCACCCATCTTCATTACCTGAAAAATGATTTTACCAGATGTGATTTGTCTGATCCCAGGCCAAAGACATCTTCTGCTACAGAAACCTCAACCTTCTACATCTACATATATGTTTGTGTTTATATCATCACTTTTCCAACCTGTTCTTTGGTTTCCTCCAGGGACATCCTCTCCTCTATTTCTTTTGTCCTCTTCCTTTCTTCCTCCTCCTTCATCTTCTGCTCCATCATTTTGTCCACCTCTTCTTCCTCTGAAAAAAATATACAATACAAGTTTTCAGTGAGGGAAGAAATAATGTCCCTCACATTAAAAAAAACACAGCAACAACATTTTGTATAAATATTGAATTAAAAGTCCTATTTTTTGATCACCACTCTGCTGATGGAGGGATGGGGGAAGTGTTTGATCCCACGAAACCCTCCACACTGCTCCTCTGGTGTCATCCAAGTGACGTTCAAATTTGTCTTGACACTGCGTCATTTACACCATGTTTTAACCTAAATGTCCACTGTTGTCTTATCCAGAGACATTTAGGCTTAAAACTTGGAGTAAATGTAGTCGTTTAGAATCTAATTTGAACGTCTGGGCTTGTGGACATTTGGATTACACCACAGAAGAAGAATCGGTCACCACTGACTTCATTTGTTTGGGATTTGGCTGCAACGCTGAGACTCCAGAAGTGTTTTGTGGACTCACACACTTCACCCACCCCTTTAATTTGTACAAACATAAAGACTTAAGATGTGTACACTTCTACCACCCATGCTATTTACACACACACACCTTGTCTCTTGCGCTCCCTCTCCCTCATGATGTGCTTGTGGAGGGCTCTGGCCATCGCGTTGGACAGCTTGGGTCTCTCCAGCAGGGCGGGCATGGTGACAGGCAGTGGAGGGGCCAGCTGGTGGGGTTCACACATTTCAGATTGAAAATGCGTCAAATCTTACAAGACAAGTGACTTTAAAAAAAAACACGATCTTTAGTAAAACCAGCAGAAACCACACAGTTCTAACGAGTCCCAGGCCTGGCTGCTAATACGCTAACGGCTAATGTAGCATCGTGAGCTTCAGAAGCTAGTACCTCAAAGTATAGCTCAGTACAGTTCGTTAACAAACACGATGTACCTGTTCATACAAAGATAATTGTACCAAGTAAATCCGTGGTAACAACTCCATTTTAAAAATCCCTGAGGGCAAATAATAAGATAGTGGTGTTAGCTAGCTGCTAGCGCACTTCCTGGCATCTATTCTAACGTTACTTTCGCGTTGTAACGTGAAAATTCTTACTTTTGTCGCTTAGTGAGTCGCGTATAAAGAACTGGGCCGCCTGGCGGGTTTTAACCTGAAGCCTCGTGACTGTGTCTGGGACAGTTTAAAATAATAGACAATAAAAACTTCTGCACAAAAACATAAACACACTCGGCGGTTCTCAGCCCGGATGTGAAGGTTTGTTCTTCCGGTGCGATGGGCGAGTTTTCCTCCGAAGTGCAGTCTGGGAGTTGTAGTTTCTACGGTATTTGGACCGTGACATCAGACTGCCTCACAATAATACAAATAATTCTTCTTCTACTACCAATAATAATACTAATCTTTATTTATGGAGCACTTCTCAAAACGTTTTGTTAAGATGCTAAAATCTTTATTAAGATTGTTTGTAGAAATCCTTTTGGAAACTCAAGAAACATAATTCCCTTAAAATCGAGTTATTTCCAAAAACGAACCAAAAAATCCATACTCACCTGCTAGATCTTATTTATATGTATGGTGTAAAGATCATCTCAAGTTAAAAAATAATAGACTTTAAATTAAAATGCACTTAATTCCCATTCTGTAAGTTATCTTTGCTTGAAAAGTTCACAGACGTTGTTTTGTTGTACCACCTCCTCGCACAAGTTACATAAGAAAAGGTCATGTGTAACTGAAAAATGCGCACCTTGTTTGTGCAGCCATGGTGGCAGATATGATAAGGATAAGTAGGTTGGACAAAATTTCCAGGTCAGGTTTTTGAATGTTGTACAAATGTTTTGGCCGACAAAAATAAAATGAACAGCCCACTGACTTCTTATAAAGTAGAGAGAGGATCTTTGGTATTTCTGGTGACTCTCGCAGTGGGAAACAAAAAAGATATTTGTGGTGCTACAACAAGTATTACATAAGATATTCAATAAAGACAAAAAACACAGAAAGCTTTTCATCGCATTTTATCATGTACGATCATGAGTGGAGAGAAAGAGCCAGTAATGCAGCTGTATACAGAGTTCAAATCTTTTTTTTTTTTAAAAAGGAGACAAACTTAAAAAAGAGAAAATTGCACTCAGCTTAACAATACCTTTAGAAATTAAGCCACCTAAAAATAACAATAATAACAACATTAATCATAGTAGCAGTCAAAAGAATAGTCTTACCACTGAAAGCAGAGGATGGTTTTCTTTTTAGTCTGAATTCTATTAAACTCCTCGCTCGGGTCAGATGCAGGGCAGCAACTTCAGTGACTGGTGAGGGTCTTTTTTTTTTTAAGATTAAACAAGTCACTAAAGGATTTTTATCTACCAGAGGAACTGCTGTTAATCTTTCCTCTGGCCGAGACAACACTATCTGCCTTCGCTAAACTCAAAGACACTTAATCCTCCTGCTGACCAACTAAAATGAACAACTTACGACTAACTGCAGTCAGTGAGAGCTGATTTGAACTCAAATGCTACACCTTTCTTTCCTTAACCCTGGAGTAACTATAATTATGGCCTAGTCCATATATCATTTCTTAAATCTTTCTCTGTTTGTCACTTAAATACGATCAAGAAAAATAACTGGCCATGAGACCACCTAACCCAGGTTGATGCAGAAGAGAAAGTGGAGGCAAATACAATTCAGACTGCAGAATTATAAAGACAGAAATGGATGGGAGAAGGGTAATGGATGGGTGGTGAAAGTGCTTTTGACATTTTTACTCTAGGAACTCTAAGGCTGCTGAGCTGGATTTTAATATTCAAATGAATGAATGGTGGAGGTCTCAGAAAGGTGGGTAGTGGTTGGAGGGGGGGTGTAGTGGGATCAGATTTCCCTTTGGCTGTTCCCATACACACTCTCATCACTGTAGGCAATGTAGAGGAAAAAGTCCTCCTCATGGTGCTCCTGAGAGAAAGACGGAGGGAAATTAGATGTCAGAATGAAATCAAAAACATAGAGGAAGGCTTGCTTCGGTGTAAGGAAGATGAAAGATTGCAACATGCTAATAAAGACGTAGTCAAGGAGCAGGTGAGTGAGGGAGAAAGTGAGTACAGCTCTTGCCTGGTACAACAGTCCCATGGTAGCTGAGGTGGGTGGAATGACGTTGTTTACAAAGAAGAAGAGAGCATCCTCAGCTCTCAAGTGGATTCTTTTCCGGATGAGGAAGTAAAACTGGCCCACTGATAAAAGAGAGATTCAAAAATTGTGGACATTTTAAATATGACTATAACAAACTTGCTTCTTGTGAATATTGTTGGCACATGATACTTTCGTGGTCTTTACCTGTCAGGTCGGAGGGAACAAGGTATTTCTTCTTGTCCAGATCTCCTATTCTGGCTTTTGGGGCTTTCTCCACGATTACCTAAAAATGGAATACAATGGACTAAATAAATACAAACCATTGTGCAACATGCCCTCAGCAGAAGACTATCTCATGTTCCACTGAACAAAAGGCTGTTTATCAAGCCACAAGTACCTAAATTTTATGTTTCGCCTTCCGCAGAAAAGGGATGTGAGAAATCTGAGAAACTGTCCCTATTTACAAATCAAACAATAGACAACACTGCATGGTGGGAAATACGCAAAAATTGTAATGTCTCTTTAATCTAAATTAGCACTAAACTACCCGTCAGCACATCCAGCAGAAACATACAATGTGTTAAATGATCTCTTCTCTCATCTAAAACCAGAAGATACAGCACAAGATCCAGTTACTACTTAACTTTAGACATCCCTCAATTACACACAAGTATTGGAACTGAATTCAGTTACTGACCTGCTAAACGGAACGATCTACAAACTTCCCTTAAACTACAGTCTTGACTACCCTTTGAAAAATGTAAAATCTTTACTATGGCATGTTGTTTGTTAAAAATCCTGTGACTGTTTTTAATAACGTATTGTGTGTATTTATTGTGTTGTTTTGTCGTTGCTCATGTTTAACTTCTTTGATGCTGATTGAGAAGATTCAAATTATGGATTAATTGTATTTTTAAGCAGGAATGGCCTGTTTTATATTAAGTTTCCTTGTTAGTTACAAAAAACAATATATTGGGGTTTAAACTGTTGATCATTATGTTAAGTTTGAAAATGTCATCTTGGGCTCAGGGACTTTTCATAACTATATTTTGGATAATTAGAGGAAGCGAAAGTAGATTGTTTCATTGATTGCAGATTGCAAAAGGCAGGTTTATTTGTGGACAGCTTTGACCCAGCCACTGAGGCCAAAGGTTGTGATCTGTATGATCCATATCCACGAGACAGGGCGACGTCAACAAGTGTCCTGGTTGTTGACAGCGACTATTTTAAGGTGCACTGCAGTTATCGTTTCAATGTCCAGTCTGAAGCTACACCCAGCCGCCCCGATCCGGACAGAATCAGCCTGTACACAATGCGGACAAAGATAAATCCACTTATTACAACTGTATTCACGACCAGATAGGACCTACAACGCTTTACTGAGAAGGATCCCTCTTTGTGATTTCGTAAAATGAGCCCAAAGTCGAGAAAAACACGCAGCGATCACACGATGCTCTCGCTAGCTAGGCCTTGGATTCTTGGAGGTTAACCGCTGACGTTTTTTAATACCCGTGACAGCCCCCGCAGATAAGACGCGGAGCTACAAGCTAACCGCGAGGTTAAAGTTACACGGAAGTGAGAACATTGGGTCTCGTAGTTACTGTTCAAACAAGGCCCCGTGTTGGGAAACCTCGAGCTCAGCTAGCCGCTAAGTTGCTAACAACACAGAACCGAGCGCAGCGAGCTAGCGTTAGCCACTTACTGGCACCCTGTCCGGGTACTTCTTCCTGATCTTCTCGCCCTCGGACCGTCTCTTCTCGAACGGGTGCTCTTCTTTGTACTGGAACTTCATCGTGGAGAGAGATGACGGACGACGAGTCGGTCACTCTGGGGGTGTTTCTGTACGGTTACGGTCGGTTCGCTGCTCGGAAGGCTCTGGAATCGCTGACACACACACACACACGGCAATAACAAACGATGCTAACGGGCTTCAGCTCCCCCACAGCTGTTTTGCAAGCGCGGATGCGGCGGAGGGATACAATAACAACATGACGTAGGGAGGAGTGTAGTTTGCAGCGGTGCGTGTTTCCACTAAAGAAAAGCCACAATAAATCTGCTTATATGTTTAGAATCAGCGTCCATTCATGTAAAAGTCACATTTTCAATTGAAACTCGTGTTGCGGTTTTTTTTTTACGGGGGACTACTTTATTTTTGATCGACCGCCGCGCGTTGAGACGCTGGGCAGGGTGGTGAGGAGGCCTCTGTCCTTGTCATATGACCGAGGCCCAGCAGTCTGCAGCCTGCAGAGAGGAAACCCCCAAAACATGGGATGCTGCACTGGAAATCCACATTCTGCCACTTGAATCTGGGTCCACACACAGTCAGCAACACGGAGGGACTGTTCCAGCCTCTGTTTCTTTATAAATCATCCTAAACTCAGGGAGTCATCTCCACTAACTTGCAGGAATCATTTCCAGCTCCATCACGGCTCTGTACTGAGCTGACATCCCAGAGGAAGTGGAAATAAAAGAGGGTTGTTTTAAGGAGAGTGTGATTCCATATACTTTATACTGGTAGAATAGAGCTGATGGAAATTACACATAATAACTATAGAGCTCCAGAGACCCCTGGTTGGTCGGATGGTTGTCCAGATAAATAAATTATATCAAAGCAGTTGAGCAGTTTAAATTCTGGATTTTATTGAGAATGATAATTTACTGAACATTTGTTTAATTTTAACTTTAAAGCTCATGCATGTTTGGAGATAACAATAGGCCTGGGCGATATAGCTAAAAGTTTTATCAAGATAACACAAGAACTATCACATTGTTGTTATTTCTTTTTAGTTTTGAACAGAGGTTTTTCGCTCCTGAGTGAAGGTTGTGGTTTTAAATTCTTCTTTATGAGAGTGACAAACACTCAGTAGAGCCCATACATCCACCAAGGCCTAAAAGTCCTCTTAAATTCAATCAGGCTGCCCCACCAATTTACACACACTCATAGATATCACTTCCCTTAATATTCCTTTTTTTTATTTTTTAATGAAGATCCATGACTTATTCCCAAAGGAAAATGTATGTAAATAAAAGCACATAACTGTTGAGACTAGATAAATAAAAGATATTAAAATAAAAAGATTTTATGTGACACACATCGTTTCTATTCACTTAATACATTTGGTCTCCCGTTGTCGTCCATGTGCTCTGATCCTGAAACCACTTCCTGAAACGTTGCTCAACTCTGTGTTGCGCAAGCAGCTCTGACTCTGTTGCTCATGTGACATCACTGCCTGAACTTTCCTGTTTTCCGCAGGTTTCATCTGATCACATGAATCTAAAAATTCCCTCTGAAAGTGAAACTACAATGTTTACTCATCAATTTAACTGGCTATGTTTGTTTTTCATTTGCATTGGATCCAGCCGATCATAATCAACATGAAGAATGTAGAGCCCTTGGATCTTCATTCAGGTGTCAAATACAGACTGATCTCATCTCCTCCATGTCAGAGACTTTAGATCATAGGTTGTACTCTGCTTTAGTGCAGAATGTAAAGTGCTGAGTCACTCCTGGACAGGCTATAAAACAGGAATAGTCACTGGCAGCACCTTCAGGTTCACATGCAAGCTGTACAATGGAACCTGAGTGAATGGCTGATATCAATTTTTCATGGAGTAAATAAAACCGTTTCCTTTGCTGCATCTGAGGAGACCTGAGCCCTTCTTCCTCTGTCAAGTGATTTCTCCTACAAAAGAAACATTGATCTCATCCAAATCTTTTATTGTGATCCTAAACTGCAAAGTTTCCTGCAGGACGTACTCCAGCTCAATCCAGCCTCTGGGTAGTTCCTGTTTCAAGTCTTAGGATTCTCCATTTCTTTTCTTTTGCACCCACAACATTCTCCAGTGATGCATTTCCCTTCTCTCCCAGCCAGACTAGCTGCTCAAATCTAAATTCAAGTGATGTCTTCAACCAACAACCTGCCCGACTCTTTCCACAACTGAGAAAAGACTCTGTCTCGTTCCCACAGCAGCCAGGAGGATGTTCTTTCTTATATTGTTACTGCGAGAGGCTTGATTAATTATGTACGACTTGTTTTCATGCTGTAAAACTTGGTAACTATGGTTTGAATAACAAATTTATGGATTTGTGTCTCGTCAGACGAAGTAATTTTTCAAGTTGGCTAATCATTTTCTTTTCTCAGTGTACTTAAAGACCATCATCAGGAGGAAGTAGGTGTTTTTATACCAGCATGATCGTAGCCCACCATAGTAATTAGCTAAATGTAGAGTACAATAATTCATAGTAATGATGAGTAGATATGCAATCACATATCCAAGCTCTGAAACTTACCTGTACGCTGTTATTGAGAGGAGTCGAGAAAAATAAATAAATAATTGCAAACGCACAATAAAATATAATGGACACATTGCAAACTGATGAAATGAAACCTGAGCTAATAAATAATAGAAATATTTTGTTGCCTGGGAATAAACATAAATAACAGATGTCCTTAAAATGTGACATTTACTACAAAAGGGTATAAATATCAACATATACACATCAGAAATGACATCCTACTCACATCTGCAGTGGTGCTGCAGATTCATATCAGACGTTATACAAGTCTGAATGATTTCTAATAAATGCGACTGAGGTCAGATGCTTTCATTTGTGCAGTAAACACATTCCTTCAAGAGCAGCGTAATACTTAGTGGACCAATGCACTTCCCTATTACACCACATGATGGCAGCAGGTTATTAGCAGAGGGGTGTCTCACACAGAAACTGGATTTATCTCCTCAGTGAAGTTTAGTGAGTTTCAAAGCTGCAAAATGTTACGTCTCAAAAGTAAAGAAATAAAAAACCAGCTGGATAAGAAGTGGCCGATACTGACAAGTGTTTTATTAGTAACACAGACCTGGAGACAGAGCCAATAAGAAGCCACTGTGAGCCTTAACAAGACTGACATTGTTCAGAAGGCATTTAAAGACAGAGGGTCTAATAGTCAAACCCATACATTGAGGGGGAGCGGGTAAAAACTGAAATGGGGGAAAAGGCTGCGAATTTTGAATCAAATACAAAACCAACTGCAACGAAAACGAAGGGGGAAAAAATTAAGTGCAATTCCTATTAGATGAAATCAGGATGGCATCGAATGGTATAAGGGGAGGAGCGAAATGAGCAATGGTATGCAGAAGTCATATTATCGTATATTATGGTACCAGAGAAACATTCAGATATGGAAAGGCGGCACGGCAGTCCACATATCGTTACAAGCCATTCTTTTTTTCTCACAACGTTTCAGTCCAGTCTTTATCACTGAGGAGCTTTGTGGAAAGAGTGACGGCTGAACGATCTCAGACGACTCGGCTGTTTGGCCAGAAAAATGCCTCTGGATGTTTATTTTCCAAGCAAAAGTCCTTCAGTTACTTCATGTAAGATCATCTCAGTTGGGTAAGAAAAAAAATGTACCTCAGGAATCAATGAATCACCGTTGGGGGGGGGTATTAGTTTTGATCTAACAACGGGCGGTTTTTCTATTTTCCTCTTCTCGACTGCTCCGAGAGGTTTAAAAGAGTGAATTATTTAGTTGTTTGCTGAAGTGCAACGTCTGGTGATGATGGAGAGGAAAGAGAATTAATATTGTAGAATCGTCTTAGTTGCTTTGCTGATCCCTCTCCCGCCTCCCGAGCTTCAAAAAAGTTTAAAAAGGACTAATGATCTCGGCAAGCGTTCTCTGACTCACGTACACAAGCTCACCTCCATACGCACACAGTCAGTATCAGGAGCGATAAGGCAGAAAGGCTCCTTTTTTGTTTTGGAAAAAAAATACAAATAAAGAATCATGAAAAAAAAAAAAGAAAGAAAAAAAAAGCTGGCTCTCCCTCCCTCCCCAGTAGTTTCTGGGCTCTGGTGATCCCGCACTGTTCATCCCGTGGTAGGCGCTCACCCCAACCCTCATCTCCTCAGGACACGTCTGAGAGGGTTCAGAGAGGGCTGGCGGGTCGTCTGCGTGGGAACGGAGGGCAGGAAGGAAGCCGGCAGAGAGGAAGAGGCTGGTCAACAAGTCCCCGCCTCTCTCGATGCAGCCAATCACCAGAGCCGGTGCTGATGGAGGTTTCGACTGAGGACGGAGCGCACATCAGCAGTGAACCTGAAAGAAAGAGAGCAGACAACAGTTTAACTACTTAAAACAGCAACTGTCCGAGTCATTAAAGGAACAGTTCTACATCTCAGGAAATGTGCTTATTTTCATTCATTCTGAGAGCGAGATGAAAACGTTTTTTTTACGTACATGGAGGCAAAGTCAGGACTGAAAGAGGGCAGAAGTGTCACAACACATCGGAGATCAGAGGTAATAATAACTTTCTTGATAAACAAGAGTTAATCAGTGTGGCTGCCGTCTCAGATTATAGTAGGTGATTAATAAAAGTGGTTGAGTTTGGTTTCTGCACAAAGCTGGCAAACTCAATGATACAATAAAAGTTTGTGATGCTGCAGGCAGTTACTGCACCTGGCTGCTGTTCATCAAGAAATAGTTACACAACACAACTCCCTATAAACCTACAAAATGCTGTGTGTGTATGCATAAAACTAATTAGAAGTGTTAGCATAAGAGCAGTAGAGGTGGTTATTGTTGCTCTTACCACTTCTGTGATGTCCGCAGTCGTGGATGTTTTTATTTTGATATCATCATTTGTTGATTTGGTGATTGAGGATTGTTTTTGCCTCTGAACAGCAGTACAGCACAGTTGAGGTAGACTAAGCTCATGTGAACATGGATATGATGTGTTGTACGTTTGTGTGTATCTGTTCAGGTTTTGGTTTATACATGTTTATCAATGTAAAAAAGGCACCAGAGGTGCTCTTGGTATGTATTTAAGTTTGCACGATGTAGCTCTGTAGATTGTTCCTCCTGTGAAGCTAAGCTATCAATGTCCAGAATCACCCTCAATCGTCTCAACTCACGGAAAGAGAATAGGCAAGTGTATTTCTAAAATAGTGAACTTATCCTTT